TCTGTAATAATCTCTGTCTATTGAAAAAGAAGCTACTTTGATAGGTGGTGACTGGGATACTTTGTAAATTTAAGGATACATATTTTGCACATAGTAAGAAATTACTGGACTGGAGAGATGGCTCAGCAGTTAAGAGCACTGACTGCTCTTGCAGAGGACTTGGGTTCAATTCCCAGCACCCACATGGCAGCTACGAACTGTCCTTAACCCCAGTTCCAGGGGAATCTGAAACCCTCTTCTGACCTCCACTGCATTGCACAACATGGGTGCACTCACATACATGCAGGCAATACACTCATACACACAAAATAAAAATTAAAAAAAAAATTTAAGCCAGGCATGGTGGCGTACACCTTTGGTCCCAGCACTCAGGAGGCAGAGGCAGGCAGATCTCTGTGAGTTCAAGGCCAGCCTGGTCTACATAGTGACTTCCAGGACAGCTGGGGCTACAGGGAGACCCTGTCTCAAAAAGACAAAAAAAAATTTTAATTTTTTAAAAAGCTACAAAAACTTAAAATGCATAAAATATAGTACATATTTAAAAAAAGAAGGCCGGGCATGGTGGCCCATGCCTTTAATCCCATCACTTGGGAGGCAGAGGCAGGTGGATCTTTGTGAGTTAGAGGCCAGCCTGGTCTACATAGCGAGACCCTGTCTCAAAAAGGACACACACACACAAAAAAGAAATTACATTTATCTAGGGTGAGAGCCTTGGGGTTTTCTCTAAGATCTGTGACCTCTCCGGCTATGTGTATTTGGCTAGGTTTATAGTACCACACATGAGTTTCCTCCCATTGAGTGGGCTTTAAGTTCAATTAGGTGGCTGTTGATTAACCACAAGATAAAAGTGCCACTACTGCACCAATGTCTTTTGCTGTTCTGGTCATTGATGTGGTTTTTAGACCTTGAAGCTAGGATTAGACTATTGATTGATGTTCTCCCTTACCAGCTTACATAGTAAGCTGTGAGAGCTAGCCTTCAGGGGAGGTGGCTTCCAGGTCAGTTCCAGCTCCATTGCTCCAAATCGTGTCCAAAGTATGTCCTGTCTTCAGCAATAGGGTCTTACCATCAAGTTCTAAGGGGGGCATTCAAGGACTGTGGCCATAGCCTGTGTAATTTGGGAGTCTCTTGGACCACCCTGGCCAAGAACTCAAAGGAAGGTTTCTCCGGTCTGGCACTGTTTCTTGTTATGTAGCCTTCAGCCATACTCATGGACTCATGTAGGGATATTGTATGTGTAATTTTTCAGTAGGTTTTTGGACTAATAGGATTCCCTCTGGTTTTTTATACCAGCTAGGCACTATTTATGTCTCCTCTTTCTCTCCCTGTCTTATCTTCCCTCCCCACCCTTCCCATTTAAATTTTCCCCATTTCTCCCTTGATAATTTTTGTATGCTATGGTCCCACCTCTTTTGAGTTCCTTCTTCCCTTTTATTCCCATAGTTGTTTGTATAGCCCCCCCTTCTGCCCCTCCCCTTTAACTACCCTTTTTTTTCACATTTCTCTCTAAGTAACACGTGTCTCCTACTATTCTTCTCTCTCGGGTAACTTCTTTCCCATTATCTCCCTGGTTCTCATACATTTTCCTGGTTCCTGCACTCACATATAAGGATTTGGTGCTAGGATCCACAAATGAGGGAGAACATACGTCTTTTGTTTTTCTGAGTCTGTGTTACTTCACTTAATATAACAGTTTCTAGATTTGCTGGGTATGGTGGTGCACTCCTTTAATCCCAGCACTCAAGAGGCAGAGGCAGGCAGATCTCTGTGAGTTCAAGGCCAGCCTGGTCTACATAGTGAGTTCCAGGCCAGCAGGGGCTATAGGGAGAACCTGTTTCAAAAAAAAAAAAAAAAAACAGTTTCTAGATTCATCCGTTTACCTGCAAATTTCATTATTTCATCTTTCTTTACTGCTGAGTAGACTCCATTGTGTAAATGTACATATTTTCATTAACCACTTGTCAGTTGAGGGGTACTGAGATTGCTTCCATTTCTTAGCTATTGTAAAAAGAGCAGCAACAAACATGGATGTACAAGTGTCTGTACAATAGGATGAATCCTTTGGGTATATGCCAAGGAATGGTATAACCAGGCACACTTATTTTTTAATTTATTTTCTTTACTATTTTTACTCTATGTGTATGAGTGTATTGCCTGCATGTATATAAGTGCACCCATGTCATGCAATGCCTGGATTGGATCCCCTAGAACTGAAGTTACTGAATGATTGTTAGCTGCCATATGGGTACTGGGAATCAAACCCAGGTCCTCTGCAGTAGCAGCCAGTACTCTTAACTATTGAGCTATCTCTCCAGCCTTGCCATATTATAGTTATGCTTGAATAAAGAAAACAGCCTGTGGCAGCTAACAACTGTCCATAACTCCAGTTCCAGGGCATCCAACGCCCTCTTCTGACCTCTGAAGGCATTATACAACACAGGTGCACTTACATACATAAGGGCAATATACTCATACACATAAAATAGTGAGGTGCTGGAGAGATGGTTCAGTGGTTAAGAGCACTGGCTGTTCTTGCAGAAGATCTGGGTTTGAATCCCAGCACCCATATGGCAATTAACAACTGTCTGTAACTCCAGTTCCAGGGGATCTGACACCTTCTTCTGTCCTCCTCAGGGATTGCATGACACAGGTGCATTTACATACATGCAGGCAATACATGCATACACATAGACAGGGTCTCCCTGTCCAGCTGTCCTGGAACTCACTATGTAGACCAGGCTGGCCTTGAACTCACAGAGATCCACCTGCCTCTGCCTCCCTAATGCTAGGATTAAAGGTGCACCTTCATTCCCAGCTCCTAGCATTTATTTTAAGGCCAAGTGTGGACCCAATTCCTTCAGATCTATCGTAAAACTGTTGTCTGAGTCAGGCTTCACTCATTCTTTTATTGAAACAGTATTTCAGCATGAATTGGGGAAGTAGAAGCTAGAATCCACCTTTATCTTATCAGAGAATCTTGCCCTTTGATCCCTAGGCCTAGAATATCACACATACAATTATAAGCAAACTTCTTAATTTTTCTTACTGTTTTCAATGAGAAAAACATGCTCCTTCCAGCACTTGGATATGTTAATCATGCACATCCACATTCATCCACTATCTTGGGTGGAGGGCAAGGTGAATCCTGAGGGATTAAGGTCAGATGCTCAGGTCACAAGCAGAGCAGATCACTCAGTGAGCTTCTTTACATTATAGCTTTTTGGTTGCAAGGTTAGGCAAAAGTCCATTAGTCCAGATCATGTTATATTGTAAAAGTCATTCTTACTACCAAGTCATGGGAGATGACAGCATGAGTCACCCAATGAATTGTCAGATATTCGTTTGACAACCCCCCACTAAACTTCTGTGGAGGGAAGAACCCTGGGGAAACTAGACCTGGGACTGGGTTTGGGACACAGCCTATTGCTATGTGGCTCAAAACCTCTTTCCATATTTAGACCTCAGTGTCCTGTAAAAAGACAGAGGCTTGCCAGGCGTGGTGGCGCATGCCTGTAATCCCAGCACTTGGGAGGCAGAGGCAGGCGGATCTCTCTGAGTTCAAGCCCAGTCTGGTCTACATAGTGAATTCCAGGACAGCTGGGGCTACAGGGAGACCCTGCTTCAAAAAGACCAAAAAAAGACAGAGGCTCATCTCACCCAGCCCAGTCTCAGGGGTTAGAGTCCCCACAATGGGGCTGAGCACCCTGTCCTGGCAGCCTGGCAGCTGTCCACCCCTCCCAACTTCCTGTTTACAGCAGCTGCTGGCTCATCCCTTTACCCCAAAGCCATTATGATCACCATAGCAACCAGACCGTGTTTGTTCCAACAGGTTGGCAAAACCTGAGGCAAGACTGCATTGGTGGGCACATCATCTCCAGATCCTTGGAGGGAGGTCAACAGTACTGCCCCAACTCCTGTCCCTCGTAGAAGGACAGAGTGGGACATGGGGTCCAGGCCCCTTCCCTTGCTCATCTGACATCCTTGTCCTGGCAGTGCCCCCCATACCCTATTTGCCTGGCTAGGCTGTACCAAACTGGAGGTGGGCTATGGGTACTGAGTGTCATGTAGGATGCTATCCTGTACTGTCTCCTGTCTTTACAGTGATGAGCACAGGGCTAGACATAGGTATGCGTTGGGATGCACAAATCCAGGCAGGTGGCAGCATCCACCCTACCTGCATGCTCCCTGGGTTGGGAAACTATGGCCAGGCTGCTGTCTCCTGATTGTTCCATCTTCAATGTCCAATGATGAACACAGGAAGATGCAGCTATCTATAAATGGAACCCTGCTCGGCGCTCTTCTGAAAGCCTGTTCCAGCCTGAGCACCCCAGAGGAGGTGGTCCTTGCTACAACCTGGGATGGAGGGTTTCCAGGCCTGCCTTCTCCTCATAATAGTTGGAGCCCTACCCATAGGAATGGGACCTTTGGGATAAAAAAATTCAAATCAAAGTAAGTCTGCACAGAAGCAAGATGGACAGTGGTATGTCACCCAGCTGCTCAAGTTTGAGAGTTGTGGTGGAGGCTGAGTGGGAAAAGGGGGCTGGGAACAGCGGGATCCAGCTGCTGTGGCCTAATCCCAGCCTCTTGCAAACACTCACAGGTAACAGGGACGTCCTGAGATGTCGCCGATTGGTGCCAGAGCTTACGGCAGCTCCAGGAGGTACCTAGGGTCAGCGCTTTGGTGAGAGGGCTACTTTGGAAATGGCTGCACAGCGCTCCGGGAAGTCTGCGCTGTTGTGGCCCAGGCACTTCGTGTTCCTTTGGAGCAACTGTAGCTTCCCTGCAGTCCCGGAAAGGAGACCCCGCGACAGCCTCCTCCCTAGGAAAAAGGGCTAGCGCATCCAAGTCCGGTCCAACACAGCGCAGAGCCCGCCCCTCTCGGCACCCACCTGTGGGTTTCGAAGGCCCGCGCCAGGGGAAGGGGCTCTCTGGCTGGCCGCAGAGGCACAGGAACCCCACCGGCCCCTAGGCGCGTGGGGCGGGCTGGAGTCACCCACCAGCAAAAGAGGCCAAGCCCCGCCTCCACTCGCCCGCGCCCCCCGCCCGCCGCGCCCGCTCCGCAGTGCTCAGTCTCCAGCGCGCGCGGCTGGGAGCGGTCGCTGTGCCTCGTTGTCCCCAGCGGCTGCGACAGCAGCTCCTGCAGAAACCTCCGACCCCGTGTCAGCCCAAGCCTCTGCCCACGGTGAGTGCAGTAACTCCTGCCGTCGGGGCTCGGCCTGCAGCCCACCCTGGATGGACAGACAGAGGCTATTGCCCCCTCGGACGCTGGCCCGGGGCTTCTGAGCTCTGTTCATCAAGGAGCACGAGGATTGCTGGCGGCAGGGGCAACAGGAAACTGAGGTCTTGGGGAAACTGAGGCTGCGCGTGCTGAGAGGGGTGGGGTCGCGGGGTCTGGGAGGATCAAAGGGCTCCTCCGTGTCTGCGCTGCAGAGCGCGGGGGAGGGGCGCAAGGCCTGGACCCCAGGCCTCCCGGAGGTCGCGTACCTCAACCGTGGTTCCCACAGTCACGGCGGCTGCAGAACCACCTGGCCATGACCCCTCTGGCCTCTCCCCAGTAGAGGAAGAAGACTGGAGCAGATCTGGGAACCTCGGAGAAACCCCTCGGGGCTTCCCTGTGATCCTCCAAGCGGGCTGTGTCCCATCAAGCTAGAGGGAGGAGGAGGAAGACACTCCGCCCCCCAGACTCTCCCATGACCCTGTTGAGACCCTATCCCTCACCCACCCGAAATCCCTGACAGGGAAAGCCCCGCCCCTTCCTCGCCTGCAGGGAATTCAGGCCCCAACGCTTGGTCTGAGTCTGGGGTGTGCTTTTGTGTGTGTGTGTGTGTCTGTGTGTGTGTGTGAGAGAGAGAGAGAGAGAGAGAGAGAGAGAGAGAGAGAGAGAGAGAGAAAGAGAGAGAGAGAGAGAAATATCACACCAGAGCAGCTCCCAAATTCCCCTCGGACCTCCTACCTTCAAGTGAAAGAGACCCCAATAAAACGGGAATAAACCACAGCCCCCTCTACGCAGTACAGAAAGAGGAGCCCAACAAAAGGAGTGACTCTACAGATAGGTGAGTGGCAGGTAAGACGCCCCGGGAAGAGTGCACCAGGCGCTCGATTCACAGATTCATGGAGAGTATCGGCTAGCTGCATCCAGGTGGCCTCTGACCTGTGAAGCTTTTGTTCTCTTACAGGGATCAAAATGCAGATCCCCCGACCCTCCTGTGAAATCAGGGAGAGAGATGAGACTCCCAGTAGCATACATACTAGGCAGGACAGCTGAGGTGCAATTGGCCATTGCCCCACCTGAGCAGGGATGTTGGGGAGCTGCTGAGGCCAGTGGAAGACCAAGGAATACAGGAAAACTTGGGGAGGGTCTGAGGGGCCAGGTGGGGTCTGACCAGGAAGAGGAGGAAACTTAGAGAAAACCAGAGGGCTTATAGAGAACCACCCTACCTATTAACCTGCCCCAATTTCTAGGCACCCGCATGCATTCAAGGTGTTTCCCTTAACACTCTAGTGTTTATGATGGGCTGGGGACCAGGAAGACGCTTACACCTAGCCCTCAGACTCATCTGCCTGTCTCCAAATGGCACAGCAGATGACAGCTTGGTATGAGAGTCCTGGATTCAAATCCTGCCTTTGCACAGATTGCCCCAGTCCCACACCATGCAACAAACTGCCTATGGCACCACTTTGCAGCCAGTGAATGAAGTGACTATAGCTTTGGCTCAGCCCCCCAGTTCAGCTCCCTGACTCCTTTTCTCACTGGTCGGACGGGAGATATGACTCTGGTCCTGGTGACTGGGTATGAGCAGGGATATGGGTGTGTCCTGTTGTCTAAGCCCAAAAGGGACAGTGAAATACACAACAGTCAGATCTGTGCTAACCAGATGTTGGTGAAAAGGCTTGGGGGTGGGGGAAGGGAGGTTCCTGCACCTAGCTCACTGATGTCCCCTACAGGTTGAGACTCCCCAGGCAGTCATTGCTTCCTACAGAAATAAATGCATGGGCAGTGGTCACATACATTCCACCTTGTGATGGTACTGTGAATGTGAATGAGGTTGTTGGTTGGAGCACAGTTGGAGGCCTCTTTGGCAAGTGTCTCCCAGAGTCTGGGCTGTTGGGTCAAAGAGATTATCAGCTGCCCAGGTAGCACGACATGAGGTTTCCAGGGGAACCAGAGCCCTTTCTGGGCACCAGAATGAACCACTGGGAGGCAGCTGAACTCCAGCTCAGAATACCCTAGGAAAATGGTGTTTGCAATAGCAGAGCCTTGAATCCCAGGATACCACCTGGGTCATGACCTTGGGCAAGTTCCTAAGCCCAGGCCTATTTCCTTGTTTGATGGAGGAATTCAGGAAAGCACCCCCTTAGGTTCTGTACTGTCAGGCCACTTTGTTCCTGCGTCACATTTGTCTCTGGGACCGCGAGCCCCCGTGGCCCCGTCACACATAGATGCAGCTGGCGGTTGCCCTGGCAACAGTTCAAGCAGCGGCTGCTTTCCTGGCTTGGGGTGTAGGAATAGCAGCCTCTTCTCCTAGCTAGAGAGAAGAGGGGCCTGTGACTATGAGCCCTCTGGGACCTCAGGACTGGCCATGTGATGATGAAAGCTCACTGGGCCCCCCACAAGGAAGTTCATGGGGCTGCCCCTCAGTGTGCAGAGCCAGCCACTCGGCCTCCTTCATGTCTACAGCTCTGGGGTCTCATCAGACAGGAAATGGTTAGAGCAAAGGGGTCAGAATAAAGCACTGTTGAGGAATGCCAGCCTGAGCCAGTGGGAACACAGATGGGATAGAACCCTCCTAATCACAGGTTCCATGGGCAGCAAAAAGCATGTCTACCCTGGGACTCCATCCTCTGACTACCCCTGAGATTCTGGGCCAGGAGTGGAATATCCTGGCTTGTAAAATAGAGGTGACAGTCTCCCCCTTACTAGGACTGATGAAACTGGGTAGGTGTGTGTGTACTATCAAGGGAGGGAGACCCGGAGAGCAAATGCCAATGCCCTGTAGTGGATGACAGGAACAGATGATGTCCTATTAATGAGGCCAACAAGGCTGGGACAGAGAGCCCAAGGAGTGGGCGCTGTGGGACAGAGGTGGCATGGATATAGGATAGTTTTCTTCAAAAGAGAGAGGGGATCTCCCTGGGGCAGTATGGGAAAGGCCCAGGCCTAGAAGGGATTATGTCACTCAGGGTCAGCAAGGGCAGTGTTTAGGTGGGATGGTTTTGTAGAAATGGGGTACTCAGTAGACCATTGTGTTCTAAGTGTCATCCTACCATTTGACTTGGGGTCTACAGGATAAATTGAGCCCTTGCTGAAAGATATTCAGGTGTGGATCTCACTAGTCTTTCTCCCCTGACATGGGTGGGCTAGGCCTGGGGACACTGCAAGCATGAGAGAAACAAGAATTCTCAGAGGATTCTGGGCCTGCCACCCCAAAAAGGGAGGGTGTCCTCCCTGGTAGTCAATCCCATTACTGACACTGTGTCCCCTCAGTCCCTAGCCCCATCCCAGGGCTACAGGTATGCCTACCCCAAAACCCATGTTCAGAGTAGGATGGTCAAGTGAGGGTCCCAGGGACAAGGGTAGCCTGGACCCAGGCTTCATTCCCAGTTGAAAGATCACTCCCCTAGTGGTGATCTGGGATGCTTTGACAGGATGAGGCAGGATTGCTCTGTTGCCACAGCAACTGGAGGACAACTGATGCAATGGGAAGGGAGGGAGCTGGGGCTGCAGCTACACAATCCCAGCCTTTACCAGCTGGGGCACACTAGTTCCATGTTCTTTTTACTGATCGTGGGGTATAAGCTCTACTTTGGAGGGTACTAACCCTTTGAGTGAAACTAGCCCCTATGGTGAAAATTGGGTGTTGTATTGGCTGTGTATAAGGACCCTCCAGCAGTTCCCTCCTGGCCATCCTGACCTTGGGGACAAATGTCCACTCTACCCTGGACTCTCGTGGGTATAAAGACCAGACCTCAGGCTAGTGCCCTGCCTTACTGTGCCCTCGTGTGGCACTGAGCCATATTTTGACCCCCTGTGGTGAGGGTCTGAGTAGTATTTGTGCTAGCCCCAATAGGTGGGAACCAGGGTTGTTGGTGAGGACACAGGAGATACAAACATGTTCTGTCCCACTCCCTTGGGTGGCCAGGGTTTGGCTGGGGTCCCAGCCCTAGATATGGCAGTAGAAGAACACACCTGTCCCCACTGAGATCCCAATAGCTCCCAGACAGAGCGTTCTGCCTGGCACTCCCACTACCTCTGAAGGCATTTGACACTACATCCCCAAAACTACATTGTAGGGGACACAAAAGCTTATGAGGTCATTTGGCAGGTGTGGCAGCAGAGTTCACAAATCTGCCTCCAGGGACTTAGTACAATGCAGGATGATGGCAGACTCCTGGGTCTCTGCCACTTTCTGTGAGCTTCAGTGATGCAAGGACAAAGCAGCAGACCTGAGGCCCTGTTTTCTACAGGTGGCTGCCATGTCAACCTTGCTGGATATCAAGAGCAGCGTGCTCAGGCAGGTGCAGGTGTGCCCATCCTTCCGCCGCAAGACAGAGCAGGAGCCTGAGACCACCAGCACAGACTCTCAGGAGCCCCCGACAGGGGCCTGGTGGGTACCCTGGAGCTGACCTATCAGGGCCTGTGCACCTGGCTTCCCTTTCCTAGCTGGCCTATACACTCGCTGCCTGCCCAGTGCTCACCCATCTGAGTGGGAAGGGGGACTGAGAGGGCCTGAATTCAAGGTGAAGGGTACCATGGTCGTCACCTTGCTCCGCTCCCTTCATGAGGGCCTTGAGTCCTGTGTGTTGGGTTAGAGAGCTGACCCAGGCTTTCTCCCAGGAAACCTGGGGATGGTGTGGAGTTCTTTGCCCACATGCGCCTCATCTTGAAGAAAGGGGATGGCAGACAGGGCCTGCCATGCCCTGAGGTAAGGACTCCCTTTTCTGCAGGGCCTAGGGGCTGCAACTCAGCACAGGCCACTGTTCCAGGTCCTGTTAGATCCCTACCTCCTACATCTATATCTCCCTGAAGCACCCTTGTATAGACAGCTTTAGAATTTGGGGGGCAATTGTAGACTAAGGGGCCCCTGCCTTCACAGACCCTCACCTGGCAACCTAACCCTCACAGGTTCTTTTACGCAGTGGTTCCCCAGCCCCTGCTGAGCCTGTGGATCCCAACCGTGGCTTGAGAGCTTTGACCCAGGAGGAGGTAATAAATGGGGGTTGTCTGGGCCTAGGGAGGGGCTAACCGCTTTCCCCAGGACTGTAGCTTCCAGGGTCTGCTGACAGGTGTGAAGTGCAGTAGGGTGGGGTGGGCAAGAGAGGCAGGAGCAGAGGCACTAACGCTGGGGCCAGCTCTGCAGTGGGAGGAGCTGCCTGGGGCTGGGGACGGTGTGCACAGAGCTCTGCTTGTCCCCTGAAGATGGAGATGCTCTATGAGGAGGCCTTGTACACAGTCCTCCACCGGGCAGGCACCATGGGACCTGACCAGGTTGACGACGAAGAGGTCTTGCTGGGCTACCTTCAGCAGGTGAGCAGGACCCTGCCCACACTGACCTACCCTGGGGAGAACTGAGACACATTCATGCATGTGCACACACATTAATGTTACCATTACCTTGACAGCACACAGAATACACACACAGACAAGCAAACATGTGCACATTGGTGGACACACCCTGGATAAAGACTTAATTAGACGTGCAGATACACATGCAAAGGATACAAGAAAATGACAGAGATGATTAGGAAGTACAGACAGGTGCTCAGAAGAGAGGAGACCGCCAGAGGACAGCTTTCCTTCCCACTGATGTATACTCTGAACTGCCAAGTCCTTGTTCTACTTCCCACAACCTTATTTGTGCTGTGTTCTCACCTGCCCACTGTGGTGTATGCTCAGAGCCACAGCACCAGGTGGCAGGTCAGAGGTATTGGTTCATTTCTACATACACTCTTGGAGGCCTCCATGGCAGTGCCAGCCTCTCCCCAGGGTCCTGCTCACCTGCCCACTGTCCACAGGTGTTTGGTACCAGCCTTGAGGAGCATACCCAGGCCATTGAGCGTGTGAAGAAGGCCAAGGTGAGGCGATGCCCACCCAGGCAGGCACTGGCTGACCAACAGCAGTACCTGTATGGCAGAGATACAGGGGTGGGCAGGGGAAGTGGGGGACTATAACATGAATGCTGAGGCTGCTGAGTGTTGTGAAGTCCCCCAGTGCTCTTCTGTCTGTAGGCCCCCATGTATGCCCTGAAAGTCTCCGTCATGCGTGCCAAGAACCTTCTGGCCAAAGACCCCAATGGTGAGTATCTGGCAGACTCCTGTGGCTCCCAGGCCTGGTAGCTATGGAGAGTGGAGAACTTGAGGGCCAGGAGCTGAGGCTCATGCCCTATTTCAGGCTTCAGTGACCCGTACTGCATGCTGGGCATCCTGCCAGCTACTGGTGCCCCACAAGAGCCAAGTGGGCAGAAGGAGCAGCGCTTCAGCTTCCGCAAGGGCAGCAAGCGCAGTGGCCCACTGCCAGCCAAGTATATCCAGGTCACCGAAGTCAAGAGTAGTACCCTGAACCCTGTCTGGAAGGAGCACTTTTTGTTGTAAGGCCCCTACCCTGCTAGTAGCTAAATACCCTAAGAGTGATCACTCATTACTGCCCCAGGGAACTCCAAAGGGGGACTGGTCACACACCCACTTTACAGAGGGGGGAACTGAGGCCCAGAAAGGGATGTGTCCCTGTGGCCACACAGCTAGTAGCAAGTGGCAGTCAAGATGTGAACCCATCAGACTGTCTGGAGAGTTACTCTCTGCTGTTCCTAGACATTCTGTTGCCCCAATCCTAGGCAGATGTGGCCTGGGAGCCTTACAAGCATCTCTCTGTCCTCCCTGCAGTGAAATTGAGGATGTCAACACAGACCAGCTGCACCTGGACATCTGGTAGAGGGCCCTGAGCCTCACAGGGCATGGGGAGTGGTACCTCTGGTTTGTGGGGGGGGACAGAGAAGGGGACTCAAAGCTGGGCTGGGAGCTCCAGACAAGCCATTCCCTGCCCCCAGGGACCATGATGATGATGTGTCCCTGGCAGAAGCATGCAGGAAGCTGAATGAAGTCATCGGCCTAAAGGGCATGAGCAGGTAGAGCAGTGTTGGATGGGGGGGGGTATCAGTGGCCCCAGAACTATGACTACAGCTTGACCAGAGGGGCCAGTGGGTGGTGGCTTTCCAGGGACCACCAGGGTGACACCACCCTGCTGTGCCCAGATATTTCAAACAGATCGTCAAATCTGCTCGTGCAAATGGGACAGCAGGACCCACTGAGGACCACACTGATGACTTCCTGGGATGCCTCAACATCCCAATCAGGGTGTGTGTGGAGGGATGGGGCAGAGTTACCCAGGGAGCACCAGTTGGGTGGATGAGGTGCCTGAGGGTGCCTGGTGGGTGCATGGGAATGCCCAGAGCTTCTGGATATCTCCAGTGGCAGTATCCTGTGATCCCCTAGAGCCTTCCACTCTCTTGGTACTCGGGGGAGAGAGGGCTGCCCAGAGGCACATCTGCTCTGGGGACTCACTGAGCGTTCCCTGCTTTTCCCCCGGGGTCCCACAAGTTCTTTTTTTTTTCCCCCTCCTGTCTGGGGATTGAACATGGGACCTTTTGTATACTAGGCAAGCACCCTACCAACGAGTTATACCCCAGCTCCATGAGTCTGTGTGGAAGAAGGAAACGGGCAGAATCTCTCTAAGAGTCTCTAGATCTGACATTGCCTTCCCCCCCCCACCCCCAGGAGGTGCCTGTGGCGGGTACTGACCGCTGGTTTAAGCTGGAACCACGCTCCAGTGCCTCTCGTGTGCAGGGAGATTGCCACCTGGTCCTCAAGCTCATCACCACCCAGGTGGGAGACATATCTTCATCCCTGCCCACTGGACTCAGGCAGAGCTGGTGACAGACCATGGGCTCTGCCTTCCAGAGGGACACTGCTATGAGTCAGCGTGGGCGATCGGGCTTCCTGTCCTACCTGTTGCTACTCAGCCGTGTGCTGCGTTTTGAGCATCGAGTGGAAGAGGTAGTGGGTGCCCTTGGGAACCTGGGGTGCTGAATGGGGTTGGGGGGCCCAGAGTAAGAATGAAGGGACTTTCTGGCCTCTGCCCATCCTTGGCCTTCTCCCCCAGCCTAATTCTAGCAGCTGGCGTGGTGAGCTTAGCGTGGCTGGGACCACAATCCTTTGCCTGCACGGAGCCCAGAGCAACCTGTCGTCCTTGCAGCTGGCAGTGCTGTGAGTGAGCAGGGCTGCACTTGAGGGTGGGGCCTCCCAAGCAGTGCTGTAAGTGGGAGGGTCATGGGATGGGGCAATGCTATGGAAGTAGCCCCAGACCACAAGTTTCGGCCCCTACAGGCACTGGCAGGTCAGTAGCCGCCACCATCAGACACGCACCCTTGACTATGGCTACCTGCTGGGGCTGCTGGAGGATATACAGGCACACTGGGAAGAGGCAGCCTCACTGCCTCAGGAGCAGGTGGGCACAAGCATGACCACAAATCTGCCTGCTTTTGGTAAAGGGGATGCTGGGGGCCAAGGGACAGAGCCCTGCCCTTAGAGGGTAAAAAACAGATGAAGCACATAATGTGGGAGAGTATTGTGCAGTAAAGAGGTGGGGGTTGCACCGAAATAACCTTGGGAAGGATGCATGGGCTGAGGGAAAAGCCACTGAGGTATTGAGAATTTGAGCAGCAGGAGCAAGTGAGCAATGGCAGGGTGCTGACAGAGGAGCAGAGGGGAAGGAGGTATAAAGGCCCTGAGGGTTGTAGGTACAGTGAGTGGGGAGTTGTGGAAGCCGAGACTGGGAAGGGACTGGGGCCTTCACTACACAAGGCAGTGAAGGTTTTTCAGTATCTGTGAACAAGGCTGCTTGCATCTTGCCATCTAAAGAACCCATTTCCTGTAGGAGGAGAGCCTAGCTGACAGTTTTTCCGCCTTCTCTGAGTTTGGGCTGCGGTTGCTGCGGCAGCTCCGAGATTACTTCCCTGCTACCAACAGCACAGCTGTGTACCGCTTGGAGCTGCTGCTGAAGTGGGTGCAATGTAGCAGGGCTGTGGGGCAGGGAGGGTGGAGGCTTCCACGGGTCTTATCAGTTGGCTGCTCTCACCAGGTGTCTCGACAAGTTGCAGCTCTTCCAGCCCTCCTTTGAAATCTGTCCCTTCGAGACTGAGCTCAACATGGACATTGCTGCTGCCTTGAAGGTGTGTCTAGACCCATCTTGGTCCTCCATGCCCCGGCCCTTGCTGGCGATACTCTCCACAGTCCCTTAACCTGACTTTCTTCCCTCCAACCCACTGTGCTGCTTGTTGACTCCTACTTCAGAGGGGCAACCGTGAGTGGTATGACCAGCTCCTAAACACCAAAAGTCCTCGGGAACAGGTATGGATCTGGAGGGCATAAACTTAGAAGGCACAGGGAATGCAGGATCCTTGGGGGCAATAGAGGTGCAGAGGTCACTTCAAGCCTGGTTTTCTTGCAGCCTGGGCCGCAGCGCCTAACTGGGCTTATCGAGCTCGCAGATATCATCTATGAGGACTTGCAGTCCTGCTATGGAGTCTATGCCAGCCTCTTTCATGGGTAGGGCCTTCCCCTGGGCACTGAAACTAGCTTGGGAAGGGTGGGGCTGGCAGGCTAACTGGAAGGGAATAGGTGTCTGAGGCTTGTCCTTTGCAGCATCCTCAAGGTGGACTTCTTCACTCTTACTTTCCGGCAGCTAGAGCGTCTGGTGAGGGGGGCCCTGACTCTGGGTATTTGTGGATGTTGGGGACTGGGGAGAAGTTCCTGGTTAAGATGGGGTCCCAGATTTATTGTTGGCAGTGGCCTGATCCCACCATCTGGAACAGGTGGCTGAGGAGGCATGGATGCTGACAGAGGAGCTGAGCTCCAAGATGAACCTAGAGGTGGCCTCGGGGCTCTTTGAGCTCTACCTGACCCTGGCTGACACCCAGCGCTTCTGGAGCTGCATCCCTGGTCGGTGTGTACCCATTACCTGGGGCCAGTGACCCCTTAGGCTCTGAGCCTGAAGACTGCTGGGTGAGGATGTGTGAGTCTTGATGGGCTCTAAGTCAGTATCCACTACAGGGACAGCCGCTCCCTGGCCCTGGCTGGCATCCACACCCCATTCCTACCAGCAGTGAAGCTCTGGCTGCAGGTACTGCGGGACCAGGCCAAGTGGCGCCTTCAGGGAGCCGTGGATGTAGACACAGTAAGTATATGCTCAGCTGCGTAATGTTAGGGCTTGTCCCATGTTCCCAAAACACTGGCCCCCTTCTGCCTTTACAGCTGGAGCCTGTGGATGCTGCTTCCAAGCACAGCAGCTCTGCAGCTACTGCCAGCCTCTGCTTAAGCCATATACAGGAGCTCTGGGTCCGCTTGGCCTGGCCTGACCTTGCCCAGGCCCAGGGGCTGGGCACCCAGCTCAGCCAGGTGAGTGGGCTGTGATAATGTGGGGAGTAGACCGGGAGGTCATGGGGGCAGAGTTTTCTGCTCATCTCATGGGGGTTCAAGTTTTCTGCTCATCTCCTGCCCCAGGACATGTGTGAGGCTGCCCTCTTCTACACGGAGCTGCTGCGGAAGAAGGTAGACACCCAACCTGGGGCTGCTGGAGAGGCAGTGAGTGAACAGGTAAGAGGCTGAGGGTCTGGTGAGGCCAGCAGGTAGCTAGGCAGGGCCACTTGACCCCCCCCCACCTCCCACCCGTGACAGCTACCCAGCTGCTTCTGGCCACACCTCCGCAGCTCTGCGTGGTGCTCAACAATGTGGAGCTGGTGCGCAGGGCTTCAGGGCAGGCACTGAGGGGCCTAGCATGGCCGGAGGGAGCTGCTGGGCTGGAGGGAGTGCTCCCCCGCCCCCTGCTCAGCTGCATACAGGCCCTGGATGAAGACCTGAAGCGGGAAGCCCACACTGTGACAGCACATCTGACCTCCAAGGTGGGCAGGGGGGTGGGGCCCGGGACTTGTGCGCATGTTGGGCTATCACTGGAGTCCCCACTCTTGTTCTGAGCACCACCCCTCTCTCAGATGGTGGCAGACATCAGGAAGTACATACAGCACATCAGTTTGTCTCCAGACTCTATTCAGAATGATGAGGTGAGTGCCTGAGATGAGCTGGGAGTACATGTACCAGGGGCAGGCTGGGTCCAGGTCAGTCAGCCCTGAGGACTGTTGCCTTGTAGGCTGTGGCTCCACTCCTGAAGTACCTGGATGAGAAGCTAGCTCTGCTGAATGCCTCGCTGGTGAAGGAAAATCTGAGCAGGTAGGTAACAGCTAGGCAATGGGACAGGTGGGGTGGTACTGGTCCAGGGAGTCACCCAGGTGGTGTTCCTATAGGGTGCTGGAGGCCCTCTGGGAGCTGCTCCTACAGGCCATTCTGCAGGCACTGAGTGCAAATAGAGATGTCTCTGCCGATTTCTACGGGCGCTTCCACTTCACCCTGGAGGTAGGGTCACTAGAAGCTCCCAGGTGAGTCTTCCTGCTGACCCTGTAGGAAGCCAAGACTGGTTCCTCTATGGCACCATAGTCCTACTGTCCTAGGGCTGCCTGTTCCCACAGCTGCCTGGCCTCAGGTGCTGGGATTTCTCAGGCCTCCTGAGGATGTAAGACACAACAGACTTGAGAAGTGGCTTTGCCCTGGCTCCTTAAGATCTGGTGCTAGGCTAGATGTAGTAGCACACACCTTTAAGCCCAGCACTTGGGAGGCAGAGACAGGCAGACCTTTGTGAGTTCAAAGCCAGCCTGGTCGACATAGCGAGTTCTAGGCCAGGTGGGGCTACAAGGAGACCCTGTCTCAAAAAGATGAAAACAAAGCTGGGTATGGTGGTGCACTGCCTTTAATCCCAGTACCTGGGAGGCAGAGGCAGGCAGATCTCTGTGAGTTCAAGGCCAGCCTGGTCTACATAGTAAGTTTCAGGCCAGCTGGGGCTACAGAGAAACTGTTTCCAAAAGACGGGAAAAAAAAAAAAAAAAAAAAGACCTGGTGCTTTCTAGGCCCCACAGCTGATGCCCCACTCTGCCACTTCTTTCCCTGTCATAGGCTCTGGTCAGTTTCTTCCATGCTGAGGGCCAGGGCCTGCCTCTGGAGAGCTTGAGGGATGGAAGCTACAAGGTGAGCTCTTGGGTGAGCCCAGTTCTCTGCAGGCATGAGTTCAGCCTGCTGTCCTGCAGCAGGTGTCCTTGTATGTGAAACCAGGTGGCTAAGAAGGTACAGATGACTTTGTGAAGGCACCTGGCTGCCATGCCAGCACTGACCAGTCACCAGCACCCAACTTCCTTTGCAGAGGTTGGAGGAGGAGCTGAGGCTGCATAAATGCTCTACCCGTGAATGTATTGAGCAGTTTTATCTGGACAAGCTCAAGCAGGTAGGGCTGTCGCTATCTACCCACAGCCCTGCCCTGAGCCCCAGCTCTACTCACTGGCCTTTCCCACCCACCTTTCCTGCAGAGGTCTCTGGAACAGAACCGTTTTGGGCGCCTGAGCGTCCGTTGCCATTATGAGGCAGCTGAGCAACGGCTGGCTGTGGAGGTGCTACATGCTGCAGACCTGCTGCCCCTGGATGCCAATGGTGAAGCATAGTAGCAGCAGCAGCAGCGGGGAGGGGGGGGGCGACAGCTGGCTCATACTGTGTCTCCTAGGCCTGAGTGACCCCTTTGTGATCATGGAGCTGGGCCCACCACATCTCTTCCCACTGGTCCGCAGCCAGAGGACCCAGGTCAAGGCCCGAACGCTGCACCCGGTGTATGATGAACTCTTCCACTTGTGAGTGCTTGCCTGGTCCACTGTGCCCCTGCCTGCACCACATGGCTACAGCAGGCTCCTGACTGCCCTATCCACAGCTCTGTGCCTGCAGAGGCATGTCGCCGCCGTGGGGCCTGTGTGCTGTTCACAGTCATGGACCATGACTGGCTGTCCACCAATGACTTCGCTGGGGAGGCAGCTCTTGGCCTGGGTGGTATCAGTGGCATCGCAAGGCCACATGTAGGAGGGAGTGTGAGAGCTGGGCAGCCCATCACACTGCACCTGCGAAGGCCCAGAGCTCAGGGTGAGTGAAGGTCCATGGGGTCGAGGGCAGTGGGCCTGGCCTGAGCTGGCTTCCTCATACCTACCTGCATGTCCACCTACAGTGAGGTCTGCATTGCGGATGCTGGAAGGCCGCAATAATAAGGAGGCGCAGGAGTTTGTCAAGAAACTCAAGGAGCTGGAGAAGTGCATGGAGGCTGATCCCTGAGTACTCTGCTGGTCCTCCCCACTTCCCTGTGGGACCCACTCTGTGGCAGCCAGGGTTCCTGGAGGCCCCTTTCTCACCATGACCTGCCTGCTCTGCCTGGACCCTGTGGCTTCTGTCTGCCTTGGCTGTGTCTTTTGATGTGCTATGAACCCGTGTCCCAGCATGTCCTACCCTGAATATGGGCAGCCAACTCAGTGGGACTTGGCCAGCAGCTTTGTGTGGAGATGGAGCAGGATAGATGAGGCCTGGTCCTGGTGGGCATATGCTCTCAGTGGATTCTTGCTTCCTAGATGCCATTAGGCAGTATCTAGAGACCCCTGTGGTCACAGCTAGGGAGTGAAGGGTAGAGTTGCTGTTCACACACTACAACGATGATAGCAATGCCAGTGGGGAAGCCTCTCCTAAAGGAGGCTCTGTTCTGTTTCCTGAGGCAGGAAGGCTGGGGGCCAGGTTGGGACAACCCAAGCTCTGGAGTTTAGCAGCTGCCAGGGCCCCAGGCAGAGGGTGAGGGTAAGAATTTCCACTACCCGTGGCTTCTCTCTCTTGGATCTGGATGCTCTACATAGCAGGTGAGCACGGAAACTGGCTGAGGATTACATAGGTTCTGGTTCCAACCAAGCTCCTGGGCCCAGGAAAGGTTCTTCTGTAGTCACCATGAGGCAAAAGATATCACCCAAGTTGGAGATCAGGGTTAAGGGCTCTATGCCAGCTGGTCAGCTATCCTTTTACATATCTCCATATGACCACACCACTTATCCCATAGCCCAGCAGATTCCCCCAACCCTTGGCCAAGTACAAGGTGACAGACTCATACTGGGGCACCTTTCTGGCCTGTAGCTTTAATGAGAGCTCCAAAGCAAGACCCCAAACAAGGCTGTCTCAGAACTGATGGAGAACCCAGTCCCACCAGGCCTGTCCATCCCCAGGTCCCACTGCCACCTCTGTACTAATGCATCCCAACTTTAACAATGTATGTGTCTACAAACTTCAGTCTCTCTGCCATTTCTTGATTCTTTTCCAAATGTCAGTGGGGGCCCTGGCCTCAGCCTGTTGTTCCAGAGCCTCTACTTGAGAGTAGCTGCTGCTCTTCCATTTTTAGCACCAGGTCCTTCTTCCTCAGGCTCATCACTATCCTCCTCAGACTTGTCACTGTCCTCTTCAGACCTGTCACTATGGTCCTCAGACTCATCAGTGTCATTCGTGTCCATGGGCAGCCTGAAAGGGAAGAATGTGCCCTTCATGGTATCATCCTTGGTCAGTCCAAGTTCACCTTCCCTATAACACTCACTAAAGTTCTTTGAGCCCAAACCCCTCCAGTAGGCAGCTGCTTTACACCTTGTAGTCCCCAACCAGATGTTGCTTAGAATGCCACACCCACAAAGCAGAAGGAATTGAGTCTAAGCCCCAGCAGCATATTAGATCTGATCCATCACTGAATGTGGAGTCACAGGACCTACCGGGTACTAGCCACAGGCCGGTTGGGGTTTACAAACTCTCGTCCTGAGTCTACATCAAAGGGATCTGAACAGAGAGAGGAAGGTGACCTCTGAGTAAGCTCAGGCAAACCCAAACCCTTGGTCCAAGGTTCCTCTGGAGGGGTTTAGCTGCTTTGGTTGAGCTCCCAATCATGCCAGGCCTTACCAATCTCCTCCTCCTTAGGGGTGTCCCTGGCACTGGCCAAGAACCCCTGTTCTGCCTGCAGCACCTCCTCTGGGCCACAGCAGGCTGCATACTTGTCCAAGAGCTGTCGGTTCAGGTCCAGGAAGCCCTTGCCCCACTTAAACTTCTGAAGCAAAATGACAGCAAGATCTGAAAAGCCTGGCATAAAAAATACAAGTCTGTGATCCCTCTAGAGAACACAACTATATCCCTCTGGCTCCTGGACAGTCCTAGGATGCCAGGGAGCTGAGTGTCCCCACCTCCAGGCCCCTTTCATTTGCTGAGAAATATTCCTACCATGCTGGTTCCTTGTCTTAGGATTTTCTCTCTGGCCCTTTCTTTGAACCCTACATTTCCTGAAGATACAGTGATGACTCATACTGTGTAATAAGGCAGCTGTCTCATTTTGTCTCTATTTCTGCTCTCCAAGGACAAGGTTGGAGGTAGGCATTGAGACTGAAACCTGAGGCTTTCCTGATGGCTCCCTACATACTCCTCATATCCCCCTGCCCAGGGGTTTGCTAGGAGAAACCACAGTTCTGGGGGCAGTCAGGCCCTAGACCAGCAGACCAGGCTGTTGTCAGACCTAAACTCACCTGCAACGTACAAGGCAGCAGCAAAAGCTTCCACACAGGAAAGTCTGCAGGGTCGACCATAGTTTACAGGGTTGGCAGCCACCAGGTAGGGCAGCAGCCGCAAGTGGCTCCCTCGCATCTTGCCAAAGGGCGTCTCATCCAATCTGGCCCAGGAGCAGTCTATGACAGCAACCCCAGACTGTGCCACCAGTTGTCTGCCAGATACAGTGTAGAGTATGTTCTGGGGCCCCAAGTGAGGCATGTCCTTGGGTGACTGGCTTCACTAAGGATGAGACATCATTGTGATATACCCAAACAATGGTGCCAAGAGCCCTCACTGGTAGCTGCTGTAACAAATGTGTATCCTAGGCTGTTTTACACCATAGGCACGCTCTAGGCAAGGGGACAAGTTAGACACACCCCTGCCCACGTGGAAGGCACGAGTACATAAAACAAATACCAAGCCTGGAAGAAAATCACATCCTGAGTAAGGGGCAGTTAACGAAGAAAAGAGGATGGTACGGTACTTCAAGCCCCTCTCAACCCAAAGGCCTCCAGTGCCTACCTGTCTGCGGGAGACACGTACTGCGTTCCTATGGGGCTGAGCACCAGGCCGCCGAATCTTTGGCCCAGGCGCAGGCAGCGCACCAAGCCCAGGCGGGCAAGCTTGCGGCCGGTGCAGCGCCGAGGGTCGCAGTGACCCAGCTCCCACATACCCAGGGTGCATGGCACCCCCGCCGGGTCCGGGCCGCCCTCGTCTTCGGTTGCCAGTGGTTGCGCGGAGGCTACACAAGCGAGAGAAGGTCCGGTCCTCAGCGCGGATTCCAGACCCTGCCCCGCTGTCCCGCTCGCTCCGCACTCACCGTGCAGCACGGCGCCCATCTCCTCCCCGAAAGCTTCCAGCGAGCGGCCAGGGGGACGCCGAGCGTGACCACCCCCGGTCTTCCGCCCGCGAGGAGCCTTCTTGCGACCCATAACGAAGAAGCGACCTCCGGTAACCCAGGAAGTACCCTCAACCGCAGCCTGGCTCCAAGAGTGTGCGCATGCGCCCTCATGTCGCTTCCCGTTTCAAGAGACGTCATTTCCTGCTCCCACGTTCACGTGACTTCTCAGTAGCTGGAGCGATGGCGGAAAGGCTGGCCTGTTTCGTGATGTTGCTGGGGCTCACGGCGCGCGGTCAGTGCCCCTCCCCGTGTCCCCCGTCCCCGCTCTCGCCCCGGCGTCCCCGACTCCACGCTGCTTACCGCCTCGCTCTCCGCAGAGCCCACGCCTGCACGTGCCGGAAAGATGAAGGTGGTGGAGGAGCCCAACACATTCGGGTGAGCGCCTCGCAGGCCGGCGGTTAGGGGCGGGCGGAGCCGGGACCAGCCCCTCTGACCTGCCCTGCTCCTTAGGCTGAATAACCCGTTCCTGCCCCAGACCAGTCGCCTCCAGCCCAAGAGGGAGCCTTCGCCCCCGACTGGTGAGCGCGGGGGCCAGAGCGGGGAGCTGGCCGAGGTGCTGACGGGGGGGGGGGACCGCCTTGAAGGAAGGAGGCTCATGCATTCATCTGTCAACCTGTGAATGTTTAAATGGTCGGAAAAATACACAAGGATTGCCCCCCCTTTTTTGGCGGTGCTTGCGATTAGGCAAGGCTTGATGCATGCTAGGCAAACGCTCTAGCGTTGACCTACATTCGTAAAATTTGATTTTGAGACATGGTCTGAGCTGGCTTCCAACTCGTAATCCTCCCATCTCCACCTTCCATAGATACTTGGACAGGTAAATACTAGCCTAGAGGAGGACCCCTCCCCGCAGGGGTGGTAGGTTTGGGGGCCTACCCCTGGTCTGTCGAACCATGTTTAGGTCAAAGGGAGTGGAGAAGACATCAGCCCCATCAGGTGAGGACCAGATCCTCTGCATTAATTTTCAGGAAAGCCGGGAATTGAGATTCTGGGACGACTCAAGAGGAAGGAACATAACTGCTAAAGGAGGCAGTGCTGGCCAGCATAAAGGGACCTTGGCTAGGTGGGGGCTGCATTCTGGGGACTTGGTGACCTACTGCTTAAGATATGCAGCCCTTACTGGTTTGTAGCATTGCTTCCCTGGAGAAGAGGGAGTCCATGGCTGGAGCTCCTGAAGTTTCAGGGAGAACCTGCCAGTATCCTCCAGCAGGGATCCAGTCAGGCTTAGCTCCATCACATCCAAGGGCAGAGGAGCCCAAAGGCCTGCAACCATCACATTGTGAACACACTCTTGAAGTGTACCATATGACATAAGGATTTCTGGGAGCATGGTCTTTTTTTTTAAATTTATTATTTTTATGTGTATGTGTGTACTGCCTGCATGTAAGTGCACCCATGTCGTGCAATGCAGATGGAGATCAGAAGAGGTGGTCAGATCCCCTGGGACTGGAGTTATGGACAGTTAGCTGTCATATGGGTGCTGGGATTCGAACCTGGGTCTTCTGCAAGAACAACCAGTGTTCCTAACCGCTGAGCCATCCCTCCAGCCCCAAAGAGCATGGTCTTTTAGAACTTCAGAAGCCAGCTTCCTGCCACCAGTGACCCTTGTGTGATTTGACCATACAAGACAGTGGCATGGCAAGGGTGAGGTCAGAGTCCTCAGCAGACACTCAGCAGGTTAATTTCTAGAGGGGAGGGATGGTGGGAGGAAAGGACCAATCAGTAGCTTACTGTCCCCTGAGCAGAACCACCTCACCATCTAGGTCTTCCTACTGTCCTGGAAGGCTTCTGTGTTTGAGCCAAATGTCAAGAAACAGAATCACAGGTACTGACCAGCACTGGGCAGGCCACAGTGATGCTGGTTGCTGCTCATACTGGGGCAGGGGCTGGGTAAGACATGCTAAGGGTGAACCCAGTTGGAAAGCCCTTCCCAACTAGCTTGTAGCACCTGGGTTGGCTAGGACAAGGGGCCAGATCTTACTAGGGAACAGTCACCCAGTACTGAAAATGTGTTTGTTAATAGAAAGTAATATTGGGAAGTGCTAGAAAGGAAAAGAAGAGGGAAAAGAAAATGGGGTAGGTGTGCTGGCATAGGCCTGTAATCCCAGCATTTAGGGGCTGAGGCAGGAAAATCATGAGTTCAAGACCAGGCCTGGGCTACATAGTGTGTTCCAGGACAGTCTTGGCTACTTAGAGACCCTCTCAGAAAGTAGGTGAGAAAGTGAGAGCTTGAGAGCACGAGAGAGTGAGACGGAGGAGGAAGGAAATGCCCATCAGGTCTTGCCAAACTAACTCCAGTAAAAATTCGAGTCAAAATGTGGAGGGGAAGGCAGGGCTGCCATTGGAGCCCTTCAAAATCCCACATCTGGAACTGCATTGACCCAGACCCCAAGATGCCACACACAGGCAGTGCAGTTGCCAACCCTTATTTCAGTGAGCATATGGTACTACAGAGGAAGAATCTTCAAAAGGTTAAGGGAAAATGCTCATTTTTCATCAACATGAGTTGGTTTCACCATTGTTGCCTATTAAATCATAAAGGCTCTCCTTGAATTTGGGGCATCTAGCTATCCTTTGAAGAAAGTTCCTTGCTGGGCACTCTGCCTTTTCCTCTGGGTTGTGTGGCCCTCTGGGACTTCCTCAGGCTGGTTTACTTGTGCTGCAGCTTTTGATTAGCTATGTTTTATCAAAATAGAAACAAATGATACTAAGTGTGGCTCAGCATTAGGGCTCCTGCCTGACCTGTGTTCCAACCTCCAGCAGTGAAAAACAGAACTCCAAGAACATGAAATTTCATTTGTGTATGTACATGTTGTATGGGTGATTTAACCTAGGGGAATATGCTAGGCAAATACTCTCTACCACTGAGCTATATCCCAAGACCTTTATATTTTGAGACAGGATCTCCTAGCTCAAATGATCCTCCTGCCCCAGCCTTCTGAGTAGCTGGAATTGCAGGTATGGTCCTCTACACGTAGCTGTGCTTTGTTTTCAGGGTTTGCACATCAGTATTCATCAGGGGTCTGGTATAGTTTTCCTGTCTGCCTAGCTCTCATCAGATGAAGCAGGCCATACCACATAGAATTAATCAGCACAGATTCTCGATTTTGAGGATTGGTGTTCTTAAAATAGTTGGTATTAGTTACCAGTGAAGCCTGGTTCTGGGCTTTTTTCAGACTTTTGATCACATTCAACATCCTTACCAGTCATAGGTTGTATTCCTTCATATATTCTGTTTCCTCATGATCTAGTCATGGCAAGTTCTTGTGTATTGGAGAAATTTCTGTTTTATCTACATCATCAATTTGTTGGTTGTATAAATTATTCATAGTTTTTTTTTTTTTTTTTTTTTTTTTTTTTTTTTAAAAAAAAAAAAAAAAAAAAAAAAAAAAAGAGGACGATAAATCTTTCACTGTGATATATCAAAATAAGTGTAGACCAGGCTGGCCTTGCTTGAATTCAGAGATCTGCCTGCCTCTGCCTCTGCCTCCAGAGTGCTGGGATTAAAGGCGTACGCCACCATGCCCAGCTGTAACTCAGGTTTTAAAAATATTTTATTGTGGGGTTGGAGAGATGGCACAGCAGTTAAGAACACTGGTTGTTCTTGCAGAAGACCTGGGTTCGAATCCCAGCACCCACATGGCAGCTAACAACTGTCTGTAACTCCAGTCCCAGGGAATCTGACAGCCTCTTCTGACCTCTGTGGGCATTACACGACACAGGTGCACTTACCTACATGTAGGCAATACACATATACACATAAAATTTTAAAAAGCGGGATTGAAGCTGGGCCTGGTGGCTCAGGCCTGTTGTCCCAGCACTTGGGAGGCAGAGGCAGGCGAATCTCTGTGAGTTCAAGTCCAGCCTGGTCTCCATAGTGAGTTCCAAGCCAGCTGGGGCTGCAGGGAGACCCTGTCTCAAAAAGACCAAAAAAAAAAAGAAAGAGGGATTGTGTTTAAAAAAAAAAAAAAATTAAATCTGGGCGTGTGGTGGCGCACGCCTTTAATCCCAGCACTCAGGAGGTAGAGGCAGAAGCAGGTGGGTCTCTGTGAGTTCAAGGCCAGCCTGGTCTACATAGTGAGTTCCAGGACAGCTGGAGCTACAGGGAGACCCTGTCTCAAAAAGACAAAAAAAAAAAAAAATTTATTGTATGAGTGTATCGCCTGCATATAAGTGCACCTGTCACACAATTTCCTTGGAGTTCAGAAGAGGGTGTCAGATCCTCCGGAACTGGAGTTAGGGCAGTTGTTAGCTGCCATGTGGGTGCTGGGAACCAAACCCTCTGCAAGAGTAGTCAGTACTCTTAACCACTAAGTCATCTCTCCAGCCCTCAATCTTTTTTTAAAAAATTTCTGTAAAATTAGTAGTAAATACCCCAACTTTCTATCTCTGGTTTTAATTATTTGAGTCTTAGCTTTCCTAGTCAGCTGAGCTACAGGTTTATTCTTTCTACTGTGTGTGTGGTCTATGTACACATGTATGCCTGTAATATAAAGGCCAGAGGACAAAGTTGGGTATCTTTATGCTCTCTTCCACCTTAGTTTTGAGTCATGGTCTCCCCCAAATCTGGAGCTCACTAGATGGCCACCAAGCCCCACGACCCATCTGCCTCCCCAGCACTGGAATTGTAGGTACTCAGCTTTAAAAAAAAAAAAAAAGAAATTTATGTGTATGAGTGTATTCTTGCATGTATTTAAGTACACCCATGTCGTGCAGTGCCCACAGAGGCCAGAAGAGGCTGCCAGATTCCCCTGAAACTGGAGTTCAAAGTTGTTAGCTGCCACGTGGGTGCTGAGGATCGAACCCGGGTCCTCTTAACTGCTTAGCTATCTCTCCAGCCCCCAAACTAATTTTTCATTTTATGTGTATGAGTGTATTGCTTGCAAGTGTGTAAGTGCATCCATGTTCTGCAATGCCCTCAGAGGACAGAGGAGGGCATAGGATTCCCTGGAACTGTTGTTAGCCACCATATGAGTGCTGGGAATCAAACCTGGGTCCTCTGAAAGAGCAGCCAGTGCTCTTAACCCCTGAGCCATCTCTCCAGCCCCAACCTGTTTTTTAATAAAAGTAACATCTTAACAAAAACCTAAGGCACTGTATTTGAAACATAGAAAGCATGGACATTGTATCTAAAACACAGGTGCTCTTAAGAGCCATCTCTCCAGCCCTTCATCCAACTTTTTATGTGGGCTCTGGGTATCTATACTCAGCTTTTCATGTTTGGACAGCAAGCACTTTACTAACTGACCCATCTGCCCAGCCTCTTGTTTTTGAGACAGTTTTTTGATAAGAAGCTCAGGTTGGGTTTGAATTCCTGCTTCATCCTCCTCAGAGCTGGGATTACAGGCATGTACTGCCACACTCAGGTCCTCTGTTGTGTCACTTTTAATCTTTCCAGAAAACAAACCTTTTCTTATACAACTCTTACAGCATGTCTATTCTTCCTCTTCACTTCAGCTTGTCTTTAGAGCTAAGGTGCAGCTATAAGTCACTAGAACTCCAGAACATATACTTGAAGCTCTAGGTTGAGTCCCTAGCACACCTCCTCAAAGTTCTTAGATAACAAAACCTGCAGGAATCAATAGACTGCCCTAGCAGAAAGGAAAGTCCTTGTGGAACCACAAGTTAAAAGAGGATGCCCTAAGCTGGGTGTGGTGGCACACGCCTTCAATCCCAGAGGAGGTGGATCTCTGTGAGTTTCAGGCCAGCCTGGTCTACAAAGAGGATGCTGGGAGAAGGCAGGAAAGAAAAGAGCTATGGGAAGATCTCTGCAAAGTAGCTAGTGACATGCTGTTGGCTTTGGTTTGCAAGGCTCTGATAAAAAAGACCAATGCAGGGTAGGACGTGGTGGCACACACTTGAAGATTTAATCCCAGCACTCAGGAGACAGAGGCATGGTGATTTCTGAGTTCGAGGCCAGCCTTGCCAACGTAGGGAGTTCCAGGCCAGCCAGGAACACCTTCTCAAGAACAAACATCATCACTGCCTAAGAACTGACTGTACATTTAGATGAGTGAGCAGGCAGTGTGAAGATGTGATCAGTGACATGGATTACAAAACTGGGAAAAAAGGAGCTGCCTAGCAGTCCTTTCTAAATGAGATTGCAGTTACTTTTTTGTTGTTGGTTTTTTTGAGACTCTCCCTGTAGCCCCAGCTGGCCTTGATCTCACAGAGATCCATCTGCCTCTGCCTCCTTGGTGCTGGTTTAAAAGAAGGCCGCCACCACACCCAGCTAGATTAGATTTTTTTTAATCCTCATGGTAGTCATACTAAATAATGTAAACATTTGAATTAAAATTTAAAAATTCCAGTAGTAGCAACAGTAACAACAAAAATACATAAGGAATCAGAACATGTCACTGAAAGATAGGCCCAGTGCTGGGTGCAGCTCAGTGTGAAAAGCACTTGCCCAGGACATGTGGGCCTTACCCCAAGACAGGGAAGAAATTCGACAAAGTGGCATGCACCTGCAGTCTCAGCTACCCAGGAGGCTAAGGCAGAAAGATTAGTTGAACCCAGGAGTAATTTCAGACCAGTTGGGCAAGAGTGCCTGACTCTGTTTTAAAAGAAAAAAAAGGGGGGGCTAGAGAGATGGCTCAGCAGTTAAGAGCACTGACTGCTCTTGCAGAGGACACAGGTTCGATTCCCAGCACCCACATGGCAGCTACAAACCGTCCTTAACTCCAGTTCCAGGGGACTCCAAAGCCCTCTTCTGACCTCTGCAGCATTGCACGACAGAGGTGCACTCACATACATGCAGGCAATATACTCATATACATAAAATATTTAAAAATTATATAAATAAAAAACCCCAGCACTCCGGAAGCAGAGGCAGGTGGATCTCTGTAAGATTGAGGCTAGGCTGATCTACACAGTGAGTTCCAGGCGAGTTGGGGCTACAGGAGACCCTGTCTCAAAACAACCCACCCCTAAACAAACAAAAACTAAACACAACATTGAAGAAATGATTAAAAGCTCTAAGACATACTTCTTTTGTCATCCTTTTTTCAATGTGAATCTTCCATTCAAAATGCAGCAATGGGGCTGGAGAAATAGCTCAGCGGTTAAGAACACTGGTTGTTCTTGCAGAAGACCTGGGTTTGAATCCCAGTACCAATATGGCAGCTAACAACTGTCCATAACTCCAGTTCCAGGGGATCTGACAGCCTCTTCTGATCTCCACAGGCATTGCACGACACCGGTGTACTTACCTACATGCAGGCAATACACGCATACACATTAAAAAAAAAAAAAGGCAGAAACTGGCAGGGGTTTTTGTTGTTTTCGTCTTTTGGTTTTTTGAGACAGGGTCTTCCTATAGCCCCAGCTGACTTCAGACTCCCTATATAGGCTAGGCTGGTCTGGGTAGTGAGTGAGCAGGCAGTGTGAGGATGTGATAGGTGGATCTATCTTAAGTGCCAGGATTAAATACATGTGCCACTATACCCGGCTCAGAAACTTTTTTTTTGGGGGGGGGCGCCTTTTTGAGACAGGGTCTCCCTGTAGCTCCAGCTGTCCTAGAACTCACCATGTAGACCAGGCTGGCCTTGAACTCACAGAAATCCATCTGCCTCTGCCTCCCGAGTGCTGGGACTAAAGGTGTGCACCACCACACCTGGCTCAGAAACTGGCTTTTTAACAAAAGATTTGTATATTAATGGTGAACTTGCCAAGACGTAAGAGGCATGTGTGCCAACATCAGAGTGCTAAAACCTGTTAACAGGCATTCTACCACTAGTCTCACCAGCCCCCTCATTTTTGAAGGATATGGAATTCCCACTGACTTGTGTCGTCCCTCCCCCCCCTTTTTGAATGGAACATATGTTCCTGTTTCATTGTATGACTTGTGGGTTTTGTTGCAAATTAGTCCTTTGAAATAACAGAAGACTGCTAATCTTTGCAAGCTGGTTCCACATCTTGGGCCAATCAGTCCCTCCGTCTTCCCCAAATCTTACCTAGTGTGCCCCCTCCCAACACCTTCCCTAGCTAGTGAGTATTCTTGCCAAGAGATGTCCACATGACTGTGGACAACCTAGACAGATGCTGAGGGATTCCTCCTCCATAGGAACAGGCATGAAGTCCTGCCAAACAATGGGTCCTGTGGCCTGGGAGGTGGGTTTGTTATTCTCCAAGGCTTAGGTAAGCCAGCATCCAATGGTTCCAAATCCAGTGGGAAAAGGAGTTTGGGGGCTTCCTGGCCTTGATGGTCATTGCCCTCCTGCTGACCCTGGCTTTTAGCTTTAGGGGCAGCAAGAGTTTATGCTTGTGCTGAACTCCTGTGATATTTTCCCCCAGGGCCTGTGCACCTCTTTGGACTGGCTGACAAGTGCTTCAGCCTGGTGGAATCCACGTGAGTGTGGGGCTAATGAGCGGGTGGGCCTAGCTTGGGAAGCTCCTTGACACCCCTGTGTTCCCAGGTACAAGTATGAGTTCTGCCCTTTCCACAACGTGACCCAACACGAGCAGACCTTCCGCTGGAATGCCTACAGTGGGATCCTTGGGTAAGTGGGCAGACCAGGGCAGTGGCAGTGGCTCTGCTCCTCAGGCCCCCATGTCATTCATTGCTCTGCCTACCTCCCTAGCATCTGGCATGAGTGGGAAATCACCAACAATACCTTCTCGGGCATGTGGATGACTGACGGGGACTCCTGCCGCTCCCGGAACCGGCAGAGCAAGGTGGGGCCTACAGGGAAGGTGGATGGTGGAGGGTAACCCACCCCCACTGGCCACTGAGGTTCATTTCCCAGGTGGATCTCACTTGTGGAAAGAGCAACCGACTTGCCCATGTGTCCGAGCCAAGCACCTGTGTCTACGCACTGACATTTGAGACCCCCTTGGTCTGCCACCCCCATTCTTTGTTAGGTAGGACTCAGCAGGGCTGGACCCAGGGAGGGGGATGGTAGGCAAGAGGCTCTGCAGTGTCTGGCTGCTGTTGATCCCTAGTGTATCCGACCCTGCCGGAGGCTCTGCAGCAACGCTGGGACCAGGTGGAGCAGGACCTAGCTGACGAGCTGATCACCCTGCAGGTGGGTCCACACTCAGGGGGCACCCCCTGCCTATTCCACCATGTGCTCCTTCTGCATCCTCCACCACCAGGGCTATGAGAAGATACTGAGGTTACTTTTTGAGGATGCTGGCTATTTAAGGGCCCCAGGAGACAGCCATCCTACCCAGCACGAAGGAGGATCCAAGGGTCTGGGGCTTGAGACCCTGGAAAACTGCAGAAAGGTAGAATAGTCTTGGGAAACCTACCAGGGTCCCCAGTCTTGGCAGTCTCTACTAGGGCCTGACCCGGCTGGCACTCTTGTCCAGGCACATGCAGAGCTGTCACAGGAGGTACAAAGGCTGACCAGTCTGCTGAACCAGCATGGCATCTCATACACAGAGCCTACAGGTCAGTTCTGTCTGCCCCAGTGAGCTGCCAGCCACCGTGGGGCCTCTGCTTGTTATAGGGGCCAGATCCTCACCTGTCATCTGTTCTGGCAGAAACTTCCCGTCCTGAGCATCTGGACCAGCAGCTCCCCATAGGTGCAACCTCAGAGCAATTGTGAGGTGACCCAGAACTACAAGGAAACACCTTGTGACCCATGTGGCCAGGAGACACAAAGAGCATAAATATGAACCTTAAGCATCCTCTTGCTGAGAAACCGGTGTGACTGGGTGTGGCGGGGTGTAGAAAGCTGCTGTGGTGAAGGCACAACTCCTTTGGGCATCTTCCCAGGCTACGCAAGGTCACTGACATGGACCTGCTGGGCAGACTTTGTTGTGAGAAGCAGACAAAATAAAGATTCAAAGTTTTAATTCCCATACTGATAAAAAATAATTCCATGAATTCTGTAAACCATTGCATAAATGCTATAGTGTAAAAAAAATTTAAACAAGTGTTAACTTTAAACAATTCACTACAAGTAAATGGGTATGCAATATAAATATGACCTTCTAGGTTAAGAAGATTCCATTCACATAACATTCTCAACTAATGGCTGAAAATAAACTCACATGGGGGCTTCCATAAATTAATCCACATGCGCATTCACACTGGGGAAAGATCTGCCAACCAGATACACAAAACTGCAACACTATCATTTACTGCTAATATTTAACACTAGAGAGTCAAATGACAACAGGCAACAGGAAGGATAGTAGTGAGCCACCCGCTCATGGGCCTTGAGCCCATCTTCCCTCCTCAGCCCTTCCCATCCAGGAGAGGTCTTGGGAGGCCTTAGCTCACAGGAGGGCTGGGATAGATGGGAGACACAGCCCCCCCTCAGGGAAATTCTTTGGTCCTCCCCCTGCGCACCTATCCTCAAGAGCCTAGCCTAGTCCTAGAAGAGCAGGTATTCAGCAAAGCTCCCTTCATGGGAAGCAGTGGGCACTACCTCCTGCTTCTTCCGGCCGTTGCACAGCAGCCCTCCAGCCTGGAATGTTAGCCCTGGAGCTCTAGAGCTCTGGTCAAGCTCCTCCTGAGGAGCTTGACCAGAGTAGCTTACAATCTAACACTTAGTGCTTTTAACTGTTACAAATTGAAAATGTCTAGATGAGATATGTCACGAACAGTGTCCTGTTACCACAGAGACCAAAGGCCTGACATGAGAAACAAGTGCATAAATATGAATAAAAATAAACAATCTTAAACCTTGTAACAGTAGCACAAAATATACATGATCTAGGTACTGAGCTAATAAATCATTATCACTATAATTAAAAACAAATAGTCACTAAAACAAGGTCAATAGTTACCTTAAGTAGTGGGCTAGCTGCGGAATGTCAAGGATCCACTTCCATTAAAAGTGATAGAGCTTTTCTATCAGTTTGTCTTATATTAAAATTGTTTTTAAATCTACTATATTAAATACATTCTAATTTGGTCACTGATAAAAATGTTTTACCTAGTCACTTTGCACTTAAAAAATGCTATTAAAAGTCTTTGGCAAAGCCATAGGGGAAGAGAACCTGCCAGCCACTTCTAGACCTGGGCAGAGCCAGCAGGTGGGGCACCTATCCTGCCCAAGTCTGCCACAGAGGGCAGGGTCTGTCTGGACAGATGTCTCTTCCCTAGATTTCCAGGGTCAGTTCCAGTCCTGACCAGAGAGGGCTCAAGTGCATAGCCCTAGACACATTCTTGACATAATCTGAGCCATGGGCCGAAGGCCAAGCTGTTGGGGACCCTGCCATGCCCCAGGAGCTTATGGGGTACTGCAGCAGAGCTGGGATAGTCAGGCTACTGAGGCACCATGATGGTCACGTGGATGAATTCTGATAACTACACACACAGGTCAGGTACCAAGTATCAACTAAAACTGTCACCTGGACTCATACAATGCCATTGGGCAGTTCTGACTCAGCTAGAGGTGAGGGTGGTCACAGATACAGCAGACTCAAAGTCTTGGGTTCACAGCCCCCTCATTCAGTGCAAGCCATAATGCCCCAGGCAACTCAAGAGGTTACAAAGCACCGCTGCCATCACAGACATCAGAACATAGCTCCTTCTCAAGTCAATCTTGGAGTCCTCTGATGTCTGATCCTTCTGCTGCACTTTTCATTAGCATGAAATTTTCTTTCAAGGGAGAAAACAAAACCAAACGAACCAATTTCTTCACTTCTTTTGCAAGGCATAGGCACTTAGAAGTGGCCACGGATCACATAGTGCATGATAGAGCTCTGGTTATCACTCTACGATACTGGAATATAAAACTCCCAACTACATGTGCACCTGCACATGTTTAGGGAAATTAGTTCCTTTCATAAAATTAAAAACATCTGAACATGTATGTGTCTTTCAATAACCATTCTGCTTATAAATACTATTTGTTTGCACTTAATTTTAAAATGTAAAAATCCTAGGTCTTCCTCACTACTAAATAAATGTTCATTTCTTAAGTAGTTTCAGAATATGAAAGCTAATGTAGTTACCATTACTATGAGTTAACGACAAACTGATATGAAACTTCAAGTTCACAGTACACTTATAAAGCTTCATGTTATAGCATATTAAAAAACATGGACCTAGAAAGCAGCTTATACAATTTATAACATCTAACTAAATTCCTCGGTTTACAAAGTGCTTTGACGAGGCCTGACCTCCCACTAGCCTGGCCACAGCAGCGTCAGGACTGGGGCACCAACCACATGCCCAAGGGACAGGCAGTGGGTTTGGTGGTGCTTTTAAGATTTTTGAGAATACCTTGACACCGGTGGTGGGACATGGTGGGTAAGAAAAGTAATACAAAAGGCCTAGGGTGGACAGTGGCATGAACTCACGTCCTGACGTGGGTGGTACTGGAGGCAATTATGACACTAGTGGCACATGGTACGTCGTGGCCTCTGCACTGCTCACCAGGGAGGGAGTGGAGCCTGGCTCTGGTCACCACGAGAGGGGCTGACCCTTGCAGTAGGGGCATTCAGGAGCACTGGCTGCGCATGGCTCACATAGGACACGGTGCTGGCAGGGCTGCAGGACAGTGCCGTGGGCCCGCTCCCGGCAGGCCACACACTGCTTGGCACGGAGTTGGAAGATCACCTGTGGGGAAGAGGCAGTGAGGCCAAGTAGATGATGGTATCCTAGGATAGTGGGCCATCAGCTACAGTGACAGGTTATGGAATTGCCTAGAGAGTGAGGCCTGGGGTAGACATTTGGCCAGAGGCCCACAGGGGAGAGCAGTTGGTAGGAAACACTTTCCCTACTTTCCTTTGTGTGTGCCACCATACTAATGTGAAGGTCAGAGGGCAGCTTGCAGGAGTTGGTTCTCTCTCCTTCTATCCATGTGGATCCTGGGGACTAAACTCAGGTTATCAGGGTTGGTTGTAGTGCCTTTACCTACTGAGCCATTTCTTCAGTCCCTGACACTTTCCCTAGAGACTTTCAGGCAAAGCACTGAATCCTGAGGCAGAGCCTCTCTGGCCACAGGAAAGGCTGGAACCAGGGTACCCATAATGAGAACTAAGTGGACTCTTGAGATTGAAGAGTGGCCGGAGTCCAGGAGACTGCACCTTGAAAACAATATGCATGTGGCAGCTGGGCCTTGGCTATGGTCAGTGGTAGGGACTTGTGTGAAAAGCAGGGCTATGCAGCCTTCCAGATGATCTGGCATGGTCTAGCATGAAAGCAGCTTCTTGCCAGGCTGAGTTGAGATGAGCACCTGGACAGTCACCTCCATGAACAGCCTGATTCAGCTGAGTGACACATGGTTCCAACTGCCCCTTGGCGTGGGACAGGGTCACCTTCTCCACAGAAGGCAGAGCCTCATGTTTGCTGACAGATGGGAACAAGGGAAAGGATCAATGTGGAAGACTCCAGAAAGAAGAACAAGATGTTAGCCTGACAGGAGAGGAAGTGCCAAGAGAGCAGCAGCCCATGTTGCACCAGCCAGAGTCTAGGCAAGGAGCCAGGGCAGAGTAAGGAAAAGCAGTGTATGAAGCAATGTCTGGCTGGGTCTCAGGCCCCTCAGTACCCAGTCCCTTCTTCCCTCCTGAAGTGACAGCAAGTACACAGCAGGACTCACCCCATCCACAGCCTCCAGGTCCAGGCGCAGTTGGCTCTGCAAGGAATGCAACTTGGAGAGAGGGATATCACTGATATCACCCAAGCTCCGCAGCCCAGGCAATGAGGACAAGCCCAGGCCCTCAAGTTCTTCCTGCAGCTGCTTGACCTGGGCCTCTACCTCCTCCTTCTTTTGTAGGGCCAGCTGCCGGTCACTGTCTGCCACCCGAGCTCGCTCCTTCGCCTCCTTCGCCTCTCTCTGCCAGGCATCACAAGCCTAAAACCCAAGGTACCATTTGGGAGGCAGCCAGGCACTCTCCACATACTCACCTGCCTTGCCTGTGCCCATAACTGTCCCTCTATTCTCCTGCATGCCCAATCCCTCCGTTCTCCTGCACGCCCAATCCCTCCCTCCCCACAAGCTCACCTGCTTCACTTGCTGCCAAGACTCTTCCCATTGCCTGATCTTCCTCTTGGCCTCATCTAGCTGCCGCCTGACCCGTGCCAGCTCGGCACTGTTTGGACTTGTATTTGAGGAAGCCAAGGGGCCAGAGTTCAGAATGGGGGATGGGCTAGGAGAGAAGCTGCCAGAAACAAAATCCCAGATGCTCCCAGGGACGCCGTTCAAACCTGAGTTTAGGGAAGACAAGGATGATACAGCCCATGCTGCACCTTAGGCCTGAGGTGTTTGCAGGTGTTCTTGCTCCTCATGGCCTGGCCACCCACGTTGGTACCCAGTGAGTCATAAGTGAATGACTGCTGGAGCCCCAGTTCCTGGACTGACTCCCCTAAATGATGTCCAGTTAGTTCAGGAAGATCAGAGTTTGAACAGAAAAGGCAAATAGATTCAGAGTTCCTAGCTCTAGTTGTTCTATAGCAACCCTGGAGGCTCAGAAGAGCTCTGGTTCTGAGGGCACTGTTCCAGTCTATGTGTATTAGATATGAAGATGGACACATCTGGAGATAAGACACTCTTCTGGGTCCTGCTGCTCTTACACCAGCTCCCTCTCATGTCCTATATCCTGGACATCATCCCAGTGAGTATTCAGGAGCCTCCATGTATGTCCTGCTCAGGGCCTAGGGCCCTAAGTAAGCTAATGTGCAGGTGGCTGAGATCTGGAGCACCATGAGAATGCCCAGTTGTGGGCAGCAAGCCTTGGCAGGCAAAGTGTGTCACAATCTGTCCACTCATTTATACTTGGGTTAGAGGTGCTTCACAGACATGAAAATACACAGATGAGAGGGCCTGCAATCAGGAATACCCAGGACAGGATTCAACAGGACCTGCTGCAGGACCCAGAGCCAGTGGGGAGGGACCCACGCCCAGGCACGCACCTAAAGAGCTGTAAGACGAGGCTGCAGAGCCTAGTGTAGCCGGCTCCGACCGGAGGGGTGTTGGCTGCTGGGGGGGTGTCATGGCCGAGGAGACGAGTGGCCCCGACAGGGACTGGGAGAACGAGCTGAGTGGGGAGGTGGACAGGGACGAGGACGAGTGCAGGGATGGCGAGCGGGGCAGGGAGCCCGGGATGGTGACGGGTGCTGAGCCTGCCAACGACCTGGGACCTGGATGGAGGAGGGAGGCTGAGTGAGCAAGAACAGGCAGTGCAAGGGCAGGGGGAGCTTCTACCATGGAGCCACCTGTCCAGGAACCTGTAGGTCAGCAGCTAGACAGCTATACAACAGGGATACATAGGAGTAGGGTCTCTTTAGGGGGACCAGGTCAATAAGCACCACCTAGAAGGGTACAACCATCAGAAACACCCCCCCAAGCTCAGGAATGTCCCAGCAAACCACTGGCATGGTGCTCACAGAGCCATCAGGGCCCTAAGACAGATGAATTTGTTTTGAAATCAGAGAAAAGGTGAACTTCTAGGAGAAAAAAGAATCATGTAGTAATAGGAATCTCTATGCCACACAGTGGTAGAAATATATTTTTTGTGTTTCCTCATGAGGGGCACTGGCTATGTCTAAGGGGGTACTTTGTCACAATGGAGTGGTAAACTGAGGAAGCAGCAGGAAACCGAACTAACTACACAGGCAGGTTGCAGTAGCAGGAAGGAGGCTCCAAAGAGAGGACCCCAGCAGATGGCCCCCTGCCCATAGTAAGCCAGGCAACATGCATCAAGTCAAAGGAGCTGCTGGCCTCAGCATTCTCACCTGTCAGGCCAAGGTCACGGCTGTCCTGCTCTTCCAGATCTTTATCTAAGGAGGCGATATTTATGTCACTAAGACGGAGATCTAAGGCAGAACCTGTGAGATAAGCCTGGTGTTACCCATTGCCTCTTAACTAGTGCACATACAAAAACTCCCAGGAGGAATCCCTGAGCCCATACCCACCAACACCTGCTGAGCTGGAGCCAAACAGCCACCCTGCAGCTCTACTGCAGGCCTAAGTGCCTCTGGCAGCTAACAAGGCTGCTTTCTCCTCCACAGCCAGTGATGTTTAGCTCAGCAACCCATTACTGTCAGAGACACAACTCTGGCCCATAAATGTTCCCTTCTTGTTTTTTGTTATTTCTCTTTTTGGTTGATGTTGTTTTGAAACAGGGTCTCACATAGCCCAGGAAGATCTCAACTCACTATGTAGCTGAGGATGACCTGAACATCGGATACTCTTGCCTCCACCTTCTGAATGCTGGGATTACACAGGCATACACAATGCCCAGCTCTGCTTCTCCTTTTACTCCTATTTGTTAAAATTGAACCAAGAAAACATATCCAACTATTAAAAATTTTCTAGGAAAGCAACTCTAACAATCAAGCGGTTCATAGGCTTTTTTAGGCTGAGCACTAAGACAATGAACTGTGACATCTTGAGGGCTTGTGGGAGACTAGGACCTTCACACTCAGCAGAAACAGTCTCCTCCCTCAAGGGAAGAGGTGGCTTGGTGTGGGAGGGCAAGCCTACAATCCCAGCGACTGAGGTAGAAGGATCACTGCAAGGTTGAGGCCAATCTGTGCTACACAGTAAGTTTCAGGGGAGGCTGTAGACCAGAACATGCCTTCAACTCCCACAACAGCAGCAGAGCTGTCATTCAGGGAAAGTACAGTGGAAAAGCTAGCAATCTGTATGGATGACCTGCACAGCCATCACAGGAGTGTGGGGAGATGGGAGTGGGCTTCAGGAGCTCCTAGGACACACCCATGGGTGGTGCCACATTCTCAGCACAGTCAAGATCAAACCCAAGCTTGGGAGAACCCAGCATTGAAAAGCATGAGGCACACAGCTCTGCCAATGGGGACTACTGTCTCCCAAGCAGCCCTGCATCTTGGTTCTCTCCATGGTGAATGGTCTACGCTATAAGGTTCATCCTAGTCCCCATTGTTAGCTAAGGTCCTTCAGTCCCGAATGACACTGAGTTCAACTTCAGATATCACAGGCACTGGGTGTGGTGGGACATGCCTATAATCCCAGCACTTGGGAGCCCGAGAAAGAAGGATGGTGGGTACCCTTTCAAAATAAAACACATCAGAAAAGCACCACAGATCACCCCAGCCAGTCCCTGAAGGACCCACCCTTTACACCTGGTCTAAAGGAGGTAGGCTGCAGTCCTACAATATAGGTCAGCACCTGGAATCTGGGAATTAGGTGAGGGATGGTCCCAGTGCTCTTATGCCGTACCCCTGGCAAAGTTCCAGGAACTCATTTTTGAAGAAATAAGGAGCCAAGAAAGACATGGAAGGGGGAACCTGTCTTTGCTGGATGATTCAATCTGGCCAAGAGCTCTGTGACTCAGCACAGAGTCCCAGGTGCAGAAGCAGCTTTGCACTGCATAGCACAGGAGGCTCAGAGGGGTGAAGCTGGGGTGGAACTACTCTGTAATCAACCATGAACAGAAGCCTAGTACCAGGTGTGAGCCACTGCCAGCAGAGGGGATGTCTGGGGAGTCTCTGGGCCCGTCAGCACTATTTCACAACCAAGAGTTGCAGGGGGTCTTTTCTACTTTTTGAGGGCTGCTCAGCAGGCCCACCTTTTCAACCACAAGCTCTTATTTCCAATTTACCCCAATGCACCCCAAGATCAGACTGGGTGTTTCTGAACTATGGTTAGGGAAGAACCAAGTTTGAAAAAGAATGGAAATCTAAGTGAGTCTTTTTACATAAACTGCAAGTGTTTGAAGGCTGGGTTGTGTCTGGTCCAGAACTAGCTCCACCAAATGATGTCGAGTTACCTGGGAATCAACAGCAACCAGCAGAGAGCTGCTGAGTGTGTCTCTGGCACTACCAGTTCCCAACATGACACAGCACATTCTGAAGGTGCTGCAGCCCTCTAGGGTCAGAAACACACGAGGGGATGAGCCACACAGACTGTGAGGAGGATTTAACTGCAAGACAGGATGGGATAAGAACCTCCTGGCACCATCCTGGATAGTGTGTGAGGAGGAAGACCGTTCTCTGACTGCTGCTAACAGGACAGAGGATCACCAAACAACCAGAGCGTCCCCACTTTGAATTAGGATGGTTAAAGGAACCAGCAGGACCAGTCCTGGAGGGAGAAGATAGGCAGACCAAAGGAGGCCACCCCAACAAAAAGCAGGTTCCTAAGAGCACACACGTGAGTTCACGTCATTCTGCAGCCTGAAAAATCTGGTATCCAAAATCACGGGCTGGCCGGGCGTGGTGGCGCACGCCTTTAATCCCAGGACTTGGGAGGCAGAGGCAGGCGGATCTCCGTGAGTTCGAGGCCAGCCTGGTCTACACAGTGAGTTCCAGGACAGCAGGGGATACAGGGAGACCATGTCTCAAAAAAGACAAAAAAAAAAAAAAAATCACGGGCTCAAGTACATATACCGGCAAGGGCGCGGGCGCGCGGCCTCCGGGGTCCATGCACGCGGGGTGGGGAGGGAAATCATGCATTTAGAAGGGAAATCATCTGGGAGGGAGACGCGCGCTTGGGGGTAAAAGATGCCACCCTGGGCCAAGTGCTCTTATTAGAGAAGCCACCAGGAGGTACGTCAGCCAGCCGGAACGGCCTAAGGAGACCAGGAGACGCGCACCGAGACCGGACATCACCAGGTGGGCACGCGCCAGCGAGAGAAGCCATGTCATGGTCGTGCACGTAGGACCGAAGTCACCAGGGGGAACGCGCGCTGGAATAGGGGACGCACACCTGGGGAGGAGGGAGAAGGACGCATGCCTGCTCCAAAGCGTCGAGTAATGACGGCCGACAACTTGGTGCTGGGCTGATGCGAGGCCGGGGTCTGCCGCCGCTGCCAATGCTGACTCACCGCGCCAGCCTTCACCGCTGAGGATTCAAACTTGACTCGCGCCCCGCCCTCGCCAGCCGCCAGCCCCCAAGGCTTGGCCCCGCCTCCACTGTCGCCCCTCCCTCACCGCGCGTAGAGGCCTAGCTGCGTGTCATGGCCCCGCCCATTATCCCGCCCCTGCAGCGCCTGCCAACCAGGTGTCCTAGAGCAGGCCTCCATTGCTGGAATGTTTAGGCTGCGAGCCCTGCTTGCAGTGGGAGTGCCCAGGGCTGTCCTCCAAGGACAAGAAAAGGAAGGGTGTTCACACAGCACCAGAACCACCCCCGCTACTTCTGCAGCATCTGCACTTCTTAAATGCACTGGCCTTCCCCTTGGCTTCATTCAATTTGAAGAAAATTGCCCCACAAGGACACTGTCCTTCATTCTAGTCCTCCTCAGGCCCAGCCCTTGCACTAGTGAAAGAGAAGAACCAGAGTGAGGGGCCAACCTCATGACGGGGGCATGTGGGCCTAGCCATGATCAGAGGCAGTAATACCTCTGTGGCCTGGGGACCATGGGTCCCCAGTAGTAGGAAGAGAGCCCACTAGCCTCCTGTGCCAGGGAATGCTGGGGATGGGACCCTGATACATATGACTTTATTTTTTGTTTTGTTTTCAGACAGGGAGGTCTCCATATATAGCAAGGCCAGCCTTGCACTTAAAGCCATCCTCTTGCTTCTGCCTCCCAAATACTGAAATTACAGGTATGTGCCTCCATGCCAGACTGGATGATTTTACACTCGATCTCAGCTAGCAGGGTCCAGTGAGGAAGGCACTCTGTTGGAAAAGCTCATTATTTTAACCATGAAGTAACAACTATACTATACTGTCTGTAAATTAAGGCTAAGTGTCTGCCTAGTAACTTGAGGTCTTGAGCTCCATCCGTAGCAATATAAAACAAACAAACAAAAACCCCAACCCCACACATCTTTGGGGCTGGAGAGATGGCCTCAGCACTTAAAAGCATTGGCTACTTTTGCAGAGGACTCCAGTTCAGGTCCCAACACCCACACAGCAGCTATCAATCATTCATAACTCCAGTTGGGGGTGGTGGTGTCAGACACCCACCCCCTCCTGGCCTCCTTGGGCATTGCATGGCATGGGTGCACCTACATATATACAGGCAAAACACACACATAAAATAAAAATTTTTTTAAATCCACATATCTTCCAACTCTTTACCTCCAACGAGAGATTAGGCCAAGCTGAGGGCATAGCCTTACATTAAATAATGGCTAGAATTACTGAAACATGTAGCACCTGTCAGTCTGAAGCATCTGACAATGCAGGTCTCCCTGAAATACTTTCAATGTTTGTGATACCCTGGTTCAACTTTTCGCTTTGGTAAGCAAACACCTGCAAGATCTACTTGTCCAGAGGCAGCAGGGGCAGGAACTTTCCCTTGATACTCTTCTGTTATGCATCTTCTTTGCCATTAATAACTTTACAGGAATTGAAATCTAGGGCATCACACACCAATACTACCCACAAAGTACCTATAATTCTAAGAAATGTCATCGAAAGCAGGGTCACATTGTACAGCACATTTACTCTTGCATAGAAGTCCTAACAGATTTGTCTTCAAAAGTGGCCAGAGTTCAGGAGGGGTGGAAATCTTGGCAGGACAAGCCCAGTGGGCATCCAGGGCATCTTGGAGACTGAGAGAAGGTAAGCACCTCAGGCAACTGTGGGCCAGCCCAAGGCCATAGATACACACTCATCTGCAATGTTCAAGAAGTCTTCCATTCCCACCATCTACTGACATAGTACCAGGGGCCTCAAGAGCCACCACCCCACACCCCAACCCCAGACCAAGCAGCAAGGACAGAAAGGTGGTGGGTTCTTTGAGGCTCCCACTGCCCCCATGGCTTCCTGAAGCTGGATGAGGCTGAATTCTAGAGGGTTCTACAGAAGGTGAGACAGACTCACATAAAACCCCCGTGGAAACAAGCTATTCAGTAATTTAGAAAAGTGACCTTTGGAAGAATGGAAGAGCCAGAGCCTACCCCAAGTGAAAACAAAGTTGGAGAGGTCCAGCCACGTTGAGGGTACATACTGTAGTTGAGAAGAAACACCCGTTTGGGAAGCTGTGGTGCCAAGCAGAGCTATGGAGGCCTGAGCCCACAGTGCTGTCCCAGGAGCCTCAGCAGCACACTCGCCACCTCCAAGATTCCCTGGTGGTCCCCAGGACAGGACTATCTTTAATGTCGTCCCTTGATGACTGTAAAAGGGGTTCTCACTCCTCTGCTAGCACTAGGGGCATCATTCCCAAGCTGCATCCCATATAGGTCTGTAATGAAGCCTGCAAGGCTAGAACCTGTGCTGTCTTGTGGATGGTTATACACCTCTGTGCCTGTTGGATAGGGCTGGCCAATTGTCTGCTTGTGTACAATATGGAAACACTTGCTCTGGGTCCCCAGGCAGCACAAGCTGCTCCATGCTTCCCAGCTCCACACCTCTAAAATCACCACTAATACCATTCTTCTATGTATCTTCAATAGTCAGGTTAAGATGCAGGCTTGGGTTACCTGTGCCCTGGAAACTACAGTATGCACAGCTTCACATGCTCTTTTTTTTTTTTGGTCTTTTTGAGACAGGGGCCCCCTGTAGCCCCAGCTGTCCTGGAACTCACTATGTAGACCAGGCTGGCCTTGAATTCACAGAGATCCGCCTGCTTCTGCCTCCTGAGTGCTGGGATTAAAGGTGTTCGTCACCATGCCCAGCTAACGTGCTACTCTTAAGCACCCTGTGCATAGGTCCATAGGGTCCCTCATCCTTCCTGGCTTTGGCCTACCTACTCCACCCATCCCTGGTCTTTCTGAGCATGCTCTGCCCGGGCTATGGACTCCTGTCCAGGTCCTGGCATGTCCCCCGAGTCCAGCTTCCATCACATTGGTCTTCAGTCCCTGAGCCCTCAATGACTCTCAGGCACTTAAGGCTCCCTGATGCTGCCTGCTGAAATTCTGACAGCTGTGTCCACCTGCTCCATGTCTCAGCCCAGTTCTCCTCCCTACCCTGTTACCATTCCCCTACCTTTGGTCCATCATGAATCTGATTTTTACTTCTCATTAGACTCCTCATTTTCCAATGGACTCTGAGATGGAGGGCGCCATCTGCCCTAGTTCTTTGGTGGTACATACAGTTGAGCCCTAATGTGGGCTCTGCAACCCTTGCCCTCCTAGGCAACCCATGGCCTCAATGAGTCAAACGGAGAAATGACAAAACCATGCCTCTGGCTTTTCTGCAGAGAAGTGCATCCTGAATAGCTATAACACAATGCAAAAAGTTGCACAGAGGAAGAGGAAGCATGCACTTACCTAGGACCGCCTCCACAGTGTTGCCAGCAGGGTCCAGTGGGAGAGCTCGAGCAGGGAGGGTAGGCAGAGCAGTTGGGGAGGAGCTACCTGAGCCAGTGCTTGACGCCAGGCTAGATGCCACACTGGAGCTTACACTGGGAACCAGCGGGTGAACCACTGAGAACACAGCAAGGTGATTCTGTTAAAAAAAAAAAACAAACAACATGAGCAGGTGCCATCAGCCTCACGACATAGCACAGACACTACAGAGGGACAGGCACTTTCCCAGAGTGGCACACAAAGCACGGACAGCCAACATCTTATCCCACTGTCACTCAGGCAGGTAGCAAAAGGATCTGGAAAAAGGATTCACCTGTCCATAAAACCTATCCAGTAGGCACACAAACCTGTCATAGATAGGCCAGGGGCTAGGAGTCTGGCAGCATTACTCCCAGATCTCCCGGAAGTCTCTTTTGCCCCTCCCAGTTCTTACCCCCTCAGTGACCAGCAAAGTGAAAAATGGGGACATTTGACATCATCTCTATCTGATAGGCAACAGATAAAAACAAGTCACATGATATCAAATAAGTGCCCAGTAAAGTGGAGAATGATGTGTACAAGAAAAAAACCCAAAAATCAGCCAGGACAGAGCTTCAAAGCTGGAGCTCCCAACAGCTGCCAGGTAAGAGAAGGTGAACTGCAAGGTCACCATGTAGTCAGGAATCAAAAAACACATGAAAACCATTTTTTTGTTTGTTTTTGAGAGAGGGTCTCCCTGGAAACCCCAGCTGGCCTTGAATACACAGAGAACCACCTGCCTCTGCCTCCCGAGTGCTGGGATTAATGGCATGCGCTACCATACCCGGCTGAAAACTAGGCGTTTTTTGTTTTGTTTTGTTTTTTGTCACTTTGAGACAGGGTCTCCCTGTAGTCCCAGCTGACCTGAACTCACTATGTAGACCAGGATGGCTTTGAACTCACAGAGATCCACCTGCCTCTGCCTCCCAAGTGATAGTACTAAAGGTGTGTGCCACCACGCCCAGCCATTTTTTGTTTTTTTTAAAATTATTTTTAATTTTATGTGTATGCATGTAGGTAAGTGCACCCGTGCCGTGCAATGCCCTCAGAGGACAGAAGAGGCTGTCAGATACCCTGGAACTGGAGCTGGAACTGGAGCTACAGACAACTGTTAGCTGCCATGTGGGTGCTGGGATTCAAACCCGGGTCTTCTGCAAGAACAGTCAGCGTTCTTAGCCACAGAGCCATTTCTCCAGCCCCGGAAAACCAGCTTTATAAAGAGGTCTTTGCACACCTTGGTGTGATGTCTTCCAAATAAAACAGAATATTAACCTCTGGGGGGAGGGGCATCACAAGGGGACTGGCTTCAACTAATTTTCGTAAGGAAAAATAATAAAAACCATAATAAAAACCTCAAGGTGCTGGAGTGGTGGCACACACCTTTAATTCCAATACCTAGGAAACAGAGACAGGAGGGTATCTGTGAGATTGAAGCCAGCCTGGCCTATATAGCAAATTTCAGGCCAGCTAGGGCTATAGAGAGCCTAACTGGAAAACAAAACAAAACAGCAACAACAACAACAACAAAAAACCCACAACAGCTTGGAGCAGTGGCACATGCCTTTAATCTCAGCACTTGGGAGGCAGAGGCAGGCGGATCTCTATAAGATTAAAGCCTACCTGGTTTATATAGTTCCAGGCTAGTTGTGGCTACAGACGAAAACACAAACGAAAAAAGCCTACAACAAAAATCTCAAGGTATGGGGCTGGAGAGATGGCTCACTGGTTACTGTTCTTGCAGAAGACCCAGGTTTGATTCCCAGCACCCACATGGCAACTAACAACTGTCCGTCAATTCCAGGGGATCTGACAGCCCCTTCTGTCCTCTGTGGGCATTGTACAACATGGGTGCACTTATCTACGTGCAGGCACTACACTCATACACATAAAATAATAAAATATTTTTTTTAAAAACCCTCAAGGTACCTCTCAGAAGGGCCAGAATCCAGATATTTTCCTCCAGTCTGGAGGGAGCTACTGCCCAGTACAGGGACAAGGCTCTACCACAGTGACCCAATATAATGTAGCTTGCAGACAGCATCCTGCCTATAAACCTTGGGTAAAGATACCCCAGGCCACCCCTCTCCCTGATCTTGAAGCTGATTCTCCTCCAGGGAGAGACCTGGACACAGGGATTGTTCAGGAATATACACCTAGGGATCCAGGCATTGTCAGAGAACACTCAGGGATCCAGGAATCCAGAGTCACTCAGGCGGAACTCCTGTGTGGATAGAGGGAACAAGTAGAACAGCTGAGGGTGCTTAGCATGGCTGGGTACTATGGATACTCACATCCAAATCAAACCCATGAGATGAGCCTAGGATCTTCACATTGAAAGAAACAGCCCATGAATCCTGGGTCTTATCACACTTCAGTGAGCCAATGCTGGGATACCCACATCCCTCATGAGTGTGTGGCCCCACAAGGGCACCCAGTGACCCCACATTCAGGATTGAAAAGAAATGTCAGGGCTAAAGAGTGAACAGGTGGTCTTTATCAGCAAAATGCACAGCCACTGGCGAGAGGCTGAAGAAAATGGCCACCAGCACACAGAGAGCCAACTCTTGGTGACACATCACAGTTGAGGATCGATAGCTCAGAGACATCCCCATCATCCAAGTACCACTAGTGGAAGCTGCAGGCACATCTGCCCTGTCTCTTAGCCACCACCTTTACCAGTGGGCCCAGCCCAAATACTCAGGCCAGTGATGAGCTGGCCCTACTTGGTCAGGCTGAGGTCCATCCCAAGACAACTGAAAGGACAATGTCCTAGGACCTAATCATTCTGAACATGCTCTGCCCCTCTTTACCTACCCACTTTAAACTTCATACATCACCTAAGTCCAACACTACTAAGAGTGTGTCACCCTCAAAAGGGTCCTGGCTCAGAAGGGAAGGAACTTCAGGCCTATGTGCCTGGGGTCAAAGGAAAGTCTGTGCTTTGTTACCTCTGGGACTTTAAAAGAAATCCTGAGACTGCTGAGAGCACAGAAGTTGGCACAATGCCACTGCCAAACCATCAATATGGCTGGTCTGAGAGCAGTGCATAAACCAAACTAGTGGCTTAGGCAGGTGATCTCAAGCCCCACATTGTGAATACAACCGCAGTAATAGTAAACTGGACTGTGAGACACCAGGGCCTTATCTCCCTCCTTCCTAGGTGTGTGTATAAGGGAGATAGTCACACCTAGGCTTCTCAATATCAGCCCATTGAGGCCATGTCATCCTTCCGAATCACAACAGCAGAGGATACACCCGTATCCCTGAAAGAATTCCAGGAGACTGCTTGATCCTGAAAATCAGTAACAACAATCAGGAACAGGTCCTTTTCCCTCAGAGTCACAATGGTCACATATGTACAACCACAATGGGTCAACTGTGGGGGTCCCCATCAACAAGAAGGTCAGATACAGCTGGCTAGGGCCAGAGAGGCATCATGTTTCCTCCAAAGTCAGCTTTGTCCACTGGGCTTTTCTCTCTCCTCCTTTCCTTCTCTTTTTTTGTTTTTTGTTTGTTCATTTGCTTTGTTGGATTTTTTTTTTGGGGGGGGGTCTTTTCGAGACAGGGTTTCCCTATAGCCCCGGCTGTCCTGGAACTCACTATGTAGACCAGGCTGGCTTTGAACTCAAGAGATCTGCCTGCCTCTGCCTCGGGAGTACTGGGATTAAAGGCATGCACCACCACACCCGACTCTTCTTTTTTTGTTGTTATAAAATGTACACAGAGTATGGGGCTGGAGAGATGGCTCAGCAGTTAAGAACACTGGTTGTTCTTGCAGAAGACCAGGGTTCAAATCCCAGTACCCACATGGCAGCTAACAACTGTCCATAACTCCAGTCCCAGGGGATCCAACAGCCTCTTCTGACCTCCACGGGCATTGTACAACACGGGTGCACTTACCTACACGCAGGCAATACATGCATACACATAAAATAAAAATAATAATAAAATTTTTAAAAAATGTACACAGGGTAAAATTCACCATCTTAACCATCCTTGGTTTTTATTACATTTTTTTGAGTATGTGTGTGTGTATGTATAGGGGCATGCATGTGGAGGCCAGAGGACAAGTTGCAGTTGATTCTCACCTTCCACTATGTGGGTTCCATGGGATTACCTTCAGGTTGCGGGGCATAGCAACAAGAGCTTTTTACCCTTGAGCTGTGTTGCTGGATCTCACACATACTAGACAAGCACTCTGCCACTGAGCTACATCCCTAGCTTTTTTGTTTTGTTTTTTGAGACAGAGTCTCCCTATACTTCTAGCTGGTCCAGAACTTGCTATGTAAACCAGGCTGCCTTCAATTTCAGAGATCCACTGGCCCCTGCCTCCCAAGTATAGGAATTAAAGGTATATGCTACCATAACTGGCTTCCCAGATTTAAGTTTAAAATTAAAAAAAAAAAAATTTTATTATTTTTATTTTATGTGTACAAGTGTATTGCCTGCACATATGTGAGTGCCCTCGTGTCATGCAATGCTGTGGAGGTCAGAAGAGGGCTTCAGATTCCCCTGGAACTGGAGTTAAGGACAGTTGGTAGCCACCACGAGGGTGCTAGGAATCAAACCCAGGTCCTCTGTAAGAGCAGTCAGTGCTCTTAACCGCTGAGCCATCTCTCCAGACCCAAAATTTGTTTTATTTTTAAGTTTTTAAGTATGTGTATGTCTACATGGGTGCAGTAAAGTCAGAGGAACTGGAGTTAAAAATGGTTATGAATGCTGGGTGTGGTGGCGCACGCCTTTCATCCCAGCACTTGTGAGGCAGAGACAGGCGGATCTCTGTGAGCTCAAGGCCAGCCTGGTCTACATTAGTGAGTTCCAGGACAGCTGGGGCTACAGGGAGACCCTGTCTCAAAAAGACCGAAAAAAAAAAAAAAAAAAAAAAGGTTATAAGTGCCATGTGGATGCTGTGAATCAACACTGGTCCTCTGCAAGAGTAGCAAGTGCTCTTAACAGCTGAACCATCTTTTTTCCTTTGGTCTTTTTGAGAGAGAACTGGCCTAGAACTCACTATGTAGACCAGGCTAGCCTTGAACACACAGAGATCCACTTGCCTCTGCCTCCCAAGTGCTGGGATTAAAGGTGTTTACCACCATGCTCGGTTTTTGTTTTTAACTTTTTGTTTGTTTTTTTTTTTTTGGTCTTTTTGAGACTGGGTCTCCCTATAGCCCCAGCTGTCCTAGAACTCACTAGGCTGACCAGGCTGGCTTTGAACTCACAGAGATCCGCCTGCCTCTGCCTCCCAAGTGCTGGGATGAAAGGCGTGCACCACCACTCCTGGCTTCTTTTTTAACTTTCAAGACAGGCCCAGGTTGGCCTTCAACTTACTCTGTAGTCCCAACAGGCCTTGAATTCACAGTGATCTGGATCTCAGTGTACATTTGTGTAGCATTAATTACATTCACCCTTGTGTAAACACCAGCACCAGGGGTCTCCAGAACCTTTGACCTTTCCCAACTGAGACTTTGTTCTTGTGACTCACAGTACCTTTTTCTTCCTCTGTGCCCTGGCTCATATGAGGACAATAGAAAACACAGGAAGAATAAAAATTCCCCCACAGACAGGAGACATGACAGTTCACCCAGAACAATCTTTGAGCCAGTACTGACTATTTTATTTATTTTAGACAGTTTCCCTGTAGCTCCAACTGGTCTGGAAATCACCATGTAGACTGGGCTGGCCTCAATATCATAAGGATTCACCTGTCTCTGCCTCCTGAGTGTTGAGATTATATTACCATTATGTTCAGTTTATTTATTTTTGAGATAGGGTCTCACTATGTAGCCCAGTCTGGCTTTGAACTCATGATCTTCCTGCCTCAGCCTCCTGAGTTTTAGGATTTGGGATTATAGGCATGAGCCACTGTGCCTTGTCACACTCGCTATTCTTTCATAGTGAAGAGAAAAAAGAAATGATGCTGATTCCTTAGGGCAGCAGTGTCAAGAAAATTAAATATGTTTCCTAAAACAGGCAACTTAGTTTGAACCAATATATGGAAGCCATGTTGGTTGGGGAGAGGCCTCAGGATTTGGGGCCACAGGGTCTGGGGAAAGCAAAATGGAGCCTCAATGAATACTCCGACAAGCTGTGTTCCCTTGGATGGGAGGCTCCCAAAATCTACTGATGTTCACTCCTGGAGACAAGTCAGGCCCACAAGCATGGGAGTATGGGCTGAAGTGGTCCCCAAATCCATATGAGGGACACCTTACCACCAGGTTGTGACCTAATCTGGACACACAGTCTTTTATAGACATTGATAGGTTAAAATGACCCAAAAAAAGACCAAAAAAAAAAAAAAAAAAGAGAGAGAGAGAGAGAGAGAGAGAGAGAGAGATGAGGACACATACACTGAAGGAGGACCACCTGAGGGCACAAGGCCCCAGGAGAGCCAAGCTTGTCCACACCTTGACCTCAGCCTCTGCCTGAAACACTTGTTACAGTGGCTTTAGCCAGATGATACACGGGTTCTGAAGGATACCTATGTTTCCCACAGAGAACACTACTATACCGCTTCAGTTTTGTTGATTCCAAGGTAGGATACAAATTTTTTTTTTTTGGTCTTTTTGAGACAGGGTCTCTCTGTAGCCCCAGCTGTCCTGGAACTCACTATGTAGACCAGGCTGGCCTTGAACTCACAGAGATTCACCTGCCTCTGCCTCCCAAGTGCTGGGATTAAAGGCATGTGCCACCACACCAGCATGATACAAATATTTTAAACAATAAAAGGACACATGGACACAAGCAAAAGAAAAAAATAATTAGAGAGCAAACAGACATTCCACTGGAGATTTAGCTCAGTGGTAGAGCAGGACCACACATGTAAGGAAAGGCCTAAAAGAAAGGCTACGCTGTCCACCAGCATGGTCACATGGTCCCAGGACTGTACCTGCTTATTGTCTTCGCTGGCTTTCTGGCTTCCTTCAGCAGGAGAATCTTTTCGTTTGGCCTGCAACACAAAGACCATTCAATCATGTTAGAAAAGGCACAGGAGACACATCCCCTGAAAACACAAAGACCCAAGGTTCACTCAGAATTTAGAAAATACTAGAGCTGGTGTGCTGGGGCAGGCCTTGTAATTCCAGCATTAGGCAGGCTGAGGCAGGAAAATCACAAGTTTTAGATCAGCGTGGGCTACATAGTGAGACCTTGTCTCAAAAACACAAAACAGCAGGCCAGTGTTAGCACACCCCTTTAATCCCAGCACTGGGGAGGCAGAGGTAGGCAGGTGAATCTCTGTGTGATCAAGGCCAGCATGGTCTGCATATCAAGTTCCAGGCCAGCAGGGGCAACTTAGAAACTTAGAAAAATATCAACTCTAGGCTGGGTGTGGTGGCACACGCCTTTAATCCCAGCACTTGGGAGGCAGAGGCAGGCAGATCTTTGTGAGTTCTGGGTCTACATAGTGAGTTCCAGGACAGCTGGAGCTACAGGGAGACTCTGTCTCAAAAAGACCAAAAAAAAAAAAAAAAAAAAAAAAATCAATCCCTCCTCACCAAAACAAAAACAACCCCCACTTCCCCATGAAACAAAACATTTAGAAAGTGCAAATCCAGCTGGGTGTGGTGGCACACACCTGTAGTCCCAGCACTTGGGAGGCAGAGGCAGGTAGATCTCTGTGAGTTCATGGCCAGCCTAGTCTACATAGTGAGTTCCAGGCCAGCTGGGGGTACAGGGAGACCCTGTTTCAAAAAAACAAAACAAAAAAATAAGTGTGAATCCTTGAACACTTGTGAGGCAAGAAGGTATTTTCATGACTTCTATCCACTGGCACCCAAAGTCCCTCCTCCACATTTGGACACCAATCTCTGACTCAGAACTGTTCTGTGGGGCACTGCACATGTACCATGGGTCATGGAGTTATTTAATAAAAAGGGCTGGGCCTTAGCATATAAATTCTACCACATTAATGGAAGGCCCATGAAGTAGCCAAATTCAGGGACATCATGCCTAAAGCTGCTGTGGGGATGCTGGAGTCAGGAACCCTGGCCTCCTGTTTGGTCCAAATGACCCTAGGCCTGACCCTGCAAAGAAGGGTGGGTGTTACCAAGAGAGGCCTAGCTGTGCTTTCTTGAAGGAAGGCAGGTCCAGGCATTCAAAGTGGCCCTGTAAGGGTTTTGTGAGAGCTACACATATTTCTGTGGAGGGAAACGGTCAATCCCAACAGCATGGAGTGCCAGGCAGTGGCTGAGGCACAAAGCAGGAGTGAATGAAGAGATGCTGCCTCCTGACCGTTCCTATAAATGGGGACAGAAACCCCAGACAGGCATCTCAACCCAGGACCACTCATGCTCAAGGAGAGGGACCCCCTCCCCAAGACATCTTGCTGACCCCAGAGTGGGAAAGATCATCACAGAAGGTACAGGAAGTGTATTATCAGAGTCTAACCTGGGTACTCTGGGACATCCCCTGAGCTGAGACTGGCAGAGGACACCTGCTATACCACAGACAGATTCAGAACCTGCCCCTGCCAGCCACAAAGGACCATCCTCTGATGGAGGGGGAGACAGAGCAGTTGTGACTGAATCCCAGACTACAGACTACAGGATACTTTCAGAGACTCAGGATCTGCCAATAAGGTCCAATGTCCACTCAACACAAGTGGCTCCAACTGGCCTGGGCAAGAACGTGCAGTGGTACCTTGAAACTCTGCTCAACAAATTCAGGGACAGTTCTTTTTAATTTTTTTTTTTTTTTTTTTTGTATCTGTGTGCTTGTGTGAGTGTTTGTCACATGTGTGTCGCCTTGGTGGCTAGAATAGAGTATGGAATCCCCTGGTGCTGAAGTTATAGAAGATTGTGAGCCACCATGCGGACACTGAGAATGAACTCATAGCCTCTGAAAGAGCAGAAAAAACTCAACCTCTGATTATCTCTCCAGCCCCAAATTCAGAACATTTCAATGTCATGCAAACAGTCTTAAACATCAGCTTTAATCTATTTTTTTAAAAACAGGATAAAATCCTGTCCCCATGATGAGATTCCTTCTTCAGAGATCCACTCTAGTGGTTGACCATGGTGGGGATGGGGAAATGCTTTATTTCTAAGTCAGAGAGCTAGAAGCAAACCTTATTTGTCCTTCCTCATCATACCCATCAGACAGAACCTGGAATGCTGGGTGACATGGGCTAGAGAAGCCACACCAGATACCATTTACTGATGACTCTCATCTGCCCAGGACCCTGAAGGTGCCCATGAGGACTCTGTAACAATGAAGGCAAGGTACCCAGCACCTGCTAAGGCAAAACCACATAAGCCAGGACTAGGAGTTTGTCCTGATCAAGCCCAGGCAAGAACATAGCCAGGATTCTGGAATCAAAACTCTACAAGCAGAATGTCCTCAAACACACCACCTAGATGCCACATCATCTCTGTCCCCAACAGTGCTATTATGCCAAGTAATGCCTACTTACGCTTCCAGGTTGGCTGCTGTGGGTCGAGGTACTATTGGAGTTGAGATCGCGGCAGCTCCAGTCAGTCACCATTCCCAGGCTCTCTACAGAGAAAGAGGAACAGCTGGCATTGAGATGCTACTATGTGGCCCACAAGATGAGGTCTTCACGCCCCAAGAAGCCAGGGCTGAGAGTACACGGTGATATCATAATCATCTCCCTTCTGTGGGATGGATGGCAGGCCAGACCAAACAGTGCCATTTAATTTTTTTTTTTTTTTTTTTTTTTTTTTTTTTGTGACTTCAGCTGTGATTGTATGGTGGTATTAGGGTTTTAAACCAGTGACAGGGTCTCCTAGTCCCAGCCTGCCTAGAAGTCATTATGTGGACCAGGCTGGACTCAATCTCACAGAGATCTGCCTGCCTCTGCCTCCTGAGGGCTGGGATTAAAGATTTATTTTATTTATTCATTTTTAAGATTTATTTTTAGGGACTGGAGAGAGCTCAGCGGTTAAGAGCATTTGCTACTCTTACAGAGGAACTGGATTCAGTTCCCAGCACCTACAAGGTAGACAATTATCTGTAACTCCAATTCCAGTGTATCTAACACCCTCTTTTGCCCTCTGTGGACACCAGGCTTGCACATGGTATACATATATACATTCAGGCAAGACACTCATACACATAAAAGTAAGTAAATCTTTTAAAAAATACTTTTATTTTTAACTATATGTATGCATGTGTGTCTGTGTATGGATATGTGCCTGTAAGTAGAGGTGCCTGCAGAGTACAGAGGTATTGATCCCCTGGAGCTAGAGTGTCAGGTGGTTGTGAGCTGCCTGATATGGGTGCTGGGAACTCAACTCAGGTCCTCTGCAAAAAACTGCAAGCCCTCTTAACCACTGAGCCATGCTCTGAAGACCCAAGATAGCACTACTTATATGTAACAATTTTAACATGAGAATCAATGTCTCAAATGTGAACAGGAACCAGCTATCATTCCCACCCAGTCAGAAAGTGAAGCTTGAGATCACCAACTACCTTATAATCACTGGAATCCAAACTTTAGAGCTGGGAGGATGGCCTTGGGAACCTGTTATGGGCCTGTATGACAACAACGACCACTAGGCTCTGGCCCCAGCTGGCCATGCCTGCTTAAGAGACTTTGGGGCCTCCCTCAGCTACAGTAGACAGATACTGACTCCATAAAGTTACTGCCACTTGGCCCCAGTAGAACAGCAGCTCAGCGCAAGGTATAGATGAGTATGGATAGGATGTATGGCAGAAGGATTTGAATCCCTATGAGGTAGGTGGGGCCTAGCAGGCCTGAGACAAGGGTCCTCCTGAGCTCTGCAAGTCTGGCCTGTGCCAGGTACAGAGAGCAAGGCAGGTCCAGTCCATGTGACAGTAACCCTCTCCCTCTCCCTGGCCCCATCCCAATCATCTAAATGGGCATTCCAGTATGTCTGGGTGTGGCCAGTTCTGGATCAGGTACCAAGCCCCCACCCCTTTTCCAATCCCCACAGTTGACTCTGGATGAGTCAAAACCCCCTAGTGACAATCTGCTGAACGTGACATGTCTCCACATAGTGGCTGGGGTGGTCCCCTGGGAAGGTGAAGGTTGTTTACTTACTCTCAATATGTGCAAAAGCACAGAAAGGACCCCGAGGGCAATAGCCAGTTTGGCGCATGTCATTGCATTTCGTAGATTTGTAGATCTAGGAAATAAGACAAAATATGGAGGCTGTGATAAATCTAGGTTTCTGTGAGAAGAGTGGAGAGGGTCTCCCAGAACAGAGAAGCAAGCAATCAAAGACTGGTGGACACTACCAGCTGCAGAATGGATCTGCAGTGTCCTCAAAGGCCCATGGGTTGAAGGCCTGGTTCTCAGTACTGAGAGATGGTGGAACCTCTATGAGACAAGACCTAGTAGGAGGCCCCGAGATCAATGAGGCATGTGCTGGAGGGGGCAGGCCCAAAGAAACAGGACCACTTGATTATGGGTGGAACCTCCTAAACTGTAAGGTAGACTTTCTTTCTAATGATGGAAAGCTGATCAGCACACTGACCCTCGGTCCTGAATATCCTCCTCTCTGCACAAACTGTAAGCCAGGGATAAGCCTGTTCATCAGACCTCCAAGCAAAGCCATTCCTCTAGTTGACACTTCCAGGAAGAGGTGTCTCTGTGTGGTATAGAGCAGAAGCTCAAGCAATGTCTCTTCAATTAATACAAGCATCTATCTTGTGACTAAACTGCCCACTACTTCACAAAGGGCAATACATTCACTATGGGGACTTGGAAAAGAGAAAAGCCTTGAATCCAGGAACTTCACCCCAGGGACTGACATCTGCCCAGGTATCAAAATGACAACACCCACCCAGCTGTTCAGAGAAGGACATGGCAATAGTACCCCTGCACCAGTGGACTTAGCCCCATGCCCTTCAGGTTCCCCCAGCCTTGCCCCAGCTCTCTGCAGACTCCAGGCCTCAAGGACAGTTAGTTTGCTTATTCATTTTAACCCAAATCTGAGTGTGCTCTGCTTGGTGACTTAGCAGCAAGAGAGAACTTGTCAGGCTAGGGCCAAACCTATCCAGAACATTCCGCAGGACAGACAGGCCCTGTTCATCCTGGGGATGACTTCTAAACCCCTGGAACATCCTGATTAGTAAGTGTCTGTTGCCTGGGCCTAGGCAGTTCATTCACACAGCACTCAAGATGGGGCTGTGGGCCACGTGGAGTCAACTGGACCTCAGCAGGTCCTAGAAATAGGGCAGCCAGGGCTGGGGGGCCAAATCCCAGTAAAGACTGCCCCCACTGCCAAGGCTCAGAAGAGTTCCCCTGCTAGCCCCACTCTTTGTATGTAGTCCCATCTGTTATGAGAAGTAGTAGTACCATCCTCACTTCATGTGCCCCATCCTACCTCCCACCTCCTCAGCCATTTTAATGTATCTCATAGTGTAATGGATCACTACTAAGCAGTGTTTGTGAGTTCTGTAAGCCCTTCTAGTGAGTACTCTGAGAGGATCCCAGACATAGTAAGGCTCTTGTGGGCAACCAACGATCCTGGCCAGGCCCTGGTCAATGCCTACCTCAGGCAAAGCCTACCTCAGGATGAAACTGCTGCTCCGTGCGGGAATGGCAGTACTGACAGTTGTCCCCACTGTCACACCGTGAAGGCTCGCCCCATTCATCACCATGCTTCACACTAGGGCAGGGCGTGGACCTGGGGACAGAAACAGTGTACCAGGTTGTGCAGCAATTTCCTGAGATAAAATCTTCCCTCTTGGCAGGAAGCTTGTAAAGATGTAAGATGTTCTAAAGGAAAATAAATCTTAATTCCATCCTGCAGGAGAGATCCTTAAACTCAGGAAGTAAACAACTGCTTCAGAAGTCCTAAAACTGACCAGAAACACTAGCTCCTCCCTTCACAAGCATCTATAAGCAGTAAGGATTGCTGAGATACTCTCTCAGACCAACTAAGCCACTTGGAAGAAGCAGAGAGCCTGCCTGACAGAGGCTCAGACCAACTGAGCTGCCTGGAAGAGACATTCTCCAACCTGTTGAGCTGCCTGCAAGTTGTGTGTGCTCCAGGTTTCCAAATTTCATGAGCTGTTACCCATGCTGTGGTAGGCTTTTGGTGATGCAGCTGTCTTTGAGGCATTTCTGTTCTTGTAAGTAACCCCAATAAATTCACTGATCCACCAACTAGACTTTGGTCTGTCATTGATTCCCTATCTGGATTTAGTATAGGTTTTTTTCACATCTCCCCAGGAACAGTGTCAGAAAACACTGATACTGGCAGAATCTGGCTCCCAGCACAGGAGGCAGAAGGCAGTGTCCCTGCAGTTGACTATGTTTTCTTTACTCAATTATTCATCCTTTTCATGAGGACATCCATTAATTCTCTCAGGGTAGGCAGTGGTGACAACAAAGACACTAATTATTTTTAGTTTTCTACTCAGGTCTCTTGATCCTGAAGCTCCTCAGAGAACAATTTAGTAACAAACCAACCAACCATCTTTGTTGGTCAGAAGGACCCTCAAGGGGACTTGTAATTATTACAAAGAGGAGAAAATAGCCCTCTGTAAAGAAAAGGTATGGGCTGGAAGGAGGAAGCCAGGGGACTCAGACCCTGGGCTACTCTGAGTACAGACTGTAAGTCCAAGGAGGAGCTGGAAGGGGCAGCTAAGGGTGGCTTTGGAAGAGGTGAAACCAACAGTCTAGTGGGACCCCAGTCCAGAGGCAGGTGATAGTCAAAAGAGCAAGTTTGGCATCCCATGAGACACTAAGTCTTCTGGACCCAGCGCTCTACCATCACCCTAGCACCTTACATCTCAGTGAAGCCAAAGGTGCCATGTGCTGGGCACAATCCTTACATTCCAGAGACAGTAGTTACCAGAGGTGCCAGTGGAAGCACACACAGGTCGCAGTCAATCTGGCCGGTGGGGAGTTCCCAGCTGTGGTCCTTACTGCCTGACAAGAGAGCTGCAAGAGGGGTCATTCAGGAGCCACCGGGCATTAGTGCAGAGAGGCCTGGGCCTCATCTCTGTCCTCACTTATCCCTGTGACAGATGTCCAGGCCTTCACTTTGCCTCTAGTAAGGTCAACCCATTAAGACATTTTCCTTGCCTGCCAGGTGACAGTTCTGAGCAGGGATCCCTCAATGGAGGAATCCTAATAGTGGGCAGCTCTGAGACAACAAGCTTAGAAAATGCTCCCCCTCCCCTGGCATGGGGCGCAAGAGACTCATAGGAAGAATGTGGAGAAGAAGCCTTATTACCCTGCATCTGTTAGGTAGAGGGAGGTACAGGAGCCACAGAGTGGTCAAGCCAATGGCTGCAATAAAGATAGAAATGTCGAGTCAGAGGGGATTCCTGATGGGGTGGGACACCTGGAAGTGGCTCAGGGTCCTGCCTATGGTCCCTGGGCTCACCTGTACTGGAACCTCCTGGGGTTCCGCCGGCGGTCTCGGCTGTTGTGATAGTGTGGACAGGCGTAGCCTTGGCGGCATAGGCGTGGTGGCTTCGGACACTGCTCAGTCTTATAGCTGCCCAATACGAAGTTAGTGTCTGTAAAACAGACACAAGGAATGCCTTGAGAGCTCACAGCAATGCTAGGCGCAACAGCCAAAAAGCCAGACAGCCACACGTCCATTCACAACACAGCAGATAAGTAAACAGGGTCCAGCCACAAGGACAGACAGACCTACTGCAATGTGGACCACCCCAAAGACATTACATACAGAAGGAGATGCCAGGTACAAGGTCATAAGTGTGACCCACATACAGGAGATGTGCAGAACAGGAAAATCCTGTGACAGGGTCACAGGAGGCCAGAAAAATCCTGCTAACCAGATGGGACTCTTTAGGGAATGAAAAAACACTCAAATGTGGAGAAAGTCTACTGGAAATATACTAGAGAGCTTACTTAGTATGTGCAAATCTGTGTTTGATCACCAGCACCACATAAAACCAGGCATGATGGTACATGCCTCTAATCCCATCACTCAAGAGGTGTAGGCAGGAGCATCAAAAGCTCAAGACTATTCTTGGTTACACAGCAAGTTTAGGGCCAGCCTAGGCAACATGAGATCCTGTCTCAAAAAGAAAAACAGTTCCAACTATAGTGAGGTTGATGGTCATACAAGTGTGTGGCTGTACTAAAAATCACTGGTATGCCAGGCATGGTGGCACACACCTGTAATCCTAGCACTCAGGAGGCAGAGGCAGGTGGACCTCTGTGTGTTCAAGGCAAGCCTGGTCTACATAGTGAGTTCCAGGCCAGCTGGAGCTGTAGAGAAACCCTATCTCAAAAAGACCCCCCGCGCCCCCCCAAAATCACTAATGAGGAGCCACGTGTGGAGCATACACCTTTAATCCCAACACTTGGGAGGTAGAGGCGGGCAGATCTCTGTGAGATGGAGGCCATCCTGGTCTCCATATCCAGTTCCTAGGACAGCTGTGGCTACAGGGAGACCCTGTCTCAAAAAGACATAAATAAATAAGTAAATAAATAAACAAACAAACAAATAACTGATGAGGGCCTGCAGAGATGGCTCATTAGTTAAGAGCACCAGTTGCTCTTGCAGAAGACCCAGGTTCAATTCCCAGCACCCACATGGTGGCTAACAACTATCCATAATTCCAGTTCCAGGGGAATCCAATGGCCTCTTCAAACTCTGCTGGCACTGCATGGCACCGGCGCACTTACACACATGTAGGCAATACACACATACACATAAAAACTTTTTTTAAAGTATTTTTTTAATGACTGGGCATGGTGGCGCACACCTTTGATCCTAGCACTTGGGAGGCAGAGGCTGGTGGATCTTTGTGAGTTCAAGGCCAGCCTGGTCTACATGGTGAGTTCCAGGACAGCTGGGGCTACAAGGAGGCCCTGTCTAAAAAAAAAAAAAAAAAAAAAAAAAAAAATCACTGATAGCTGGGCATAGTGGCTCACGCCTTTAATCCCAGCACTTAGGAGGCAGAGGCAGATGTATCTCTGTGAGTTCAAGGTCAGCCTGGTCTACATAGCTAGCTCCAGGCCAGCTGGGGCTACAGGGAGAACCTGTCTCAAAAAGACCAGAAAAAAAAAATCACTGAGGAGCTGGGTAGATGGCTCAATGGTTTAAGTGCTTGCCATGCAAGCATGAGGACCAGAGTTTAGGTCCCCAGAACCTACATAAATGCCAGGCAGAAACAGTGAGTTCTGGGTACAATTGAGAGACCCTGCCTCAAAGAATATGGGGGACAGTGATCAATGATGGCTTCTGATGTCAACCTCAGGTTTCTACATAATCGCACATGCATGCACACTCACCCACAAACACAAAAACATGCATATATATACACACATGCACATCACACACACACATACACATAAGAAAAAAGGCCAGCTTTGAGGCTGGAGAGATGGCTCAGTGGTTAAGAACACTGGTTGTTCTTGCAGAAGACCTGGGTTCAAATCCCAGCACCCACATGACAGCTAACAACTGTCCATAACTCTAGTCCCAGAGGATCCGACAGCCTCTTCTGACCTCCATGGGCATTGCACGACATGGGTGCGCTTACCTACTACATGCAGAAAATACATGCATACATATAAAATAAAAATAATGAAATTTTTTTTAAAAAAACAGCTTTTTGACTCGTGCCTTTCCCCAGTTCATTAGACCACTTGCATTCTTGTTGAGTGTCATCTTTCTTAATAAACTACATCTCTTTATTACTTTTTAAGACAGGTCTCCTGGTAACCCCAGCTAGTCTGGAACTCCCTATTGTAGATCAGGCTGGCCTCAATCCCACAGAGATCCTGCCTCTGCTTCCCAAGTGCTGGGACTAAAGGTGTGCTCTACCACAACCAGTATAACCAACTTTTTAAAAAACAGGGTACGTATTCCAGGCTATCTTCAAACTTAATCCTTCTGCATCACTTCCCCAGTGCTAGGATTTTAGGTGTCAGACTAAAATGTGCTGCTCAGATGTGTGTGTGTGTGTGTGTGTGTGTGTGTGTGTGTGTGTGTGTACACAGGTGATTGAACCCTGCATATGCTAGGCAAGTGCTCTACCATGCAATGCTCAGATTTGTGTGCATGTGTGTGTGTCTTTTACTTTCTATTTTGAACCAGGGTCTCACTAAATTCCTGAGGCTCTGTAGCCCAGATTGGACTAGACTTTCTGAACTTATTAGTTCTGCCTCAGTCTCCTAAATAAAATTACAGGTATACCACCACACCCAGCTCAATAGCTACAGTTAACTCTTTGAAACTGTCTTGTTATTAGTCCAGGATAGGATCAAGTTCATGATCCTCCTGCTTCAGCCTCCTCAGTGCTGGGATTACAAGAGTGTACCACTACAACTAGTTTAAAAATGGTCAACCCCCAGGATAGAAAGATGGCTCAGCAGTTAAGAGCACTGACTGCTCTTGCAGAGGACCCAGGTTTGATTCTCAGCACCCACATGGTAGCTACCAACCATCCTTAACTCCAGTATTGGCTGGGCGTGGTGGCGCACACCTTTAACCCCAGCACTCAGGAGGTAGAGGCAGGAGGATCTCTGTGAGTTCAAGGCTAGCCTGGTCTACATAGTGAGTTCCAGGACAGCTGGGGCTGCAGGGAGACACTGTCTCAAATTAAAAAAAAAAAAAAAAAGGTCAACCTCACCAGGCGTAGTGGCACATGCCTTTAATTCCAGCACTTGGAATGCAGAGACAGGCAGATCTTCCTGAGTTCAAGGCTAGCCTGGTCTACTATGTAGAGTGTTCCAGGTCAGCTGTGGCTACAAGAAGACCCTGTCTCAAAAAGACAAAGAAGGCAGGCGTGGTGGCACACATCTGTAGTCCCAGCACTTGGGAGGCAGAGGCAGGCGGATCTCTCTGAATTCAAGGCCAGCCTGCTCTACATAGTGAGTTCCAGGATAGCTGGGGCTACAGGGAGACCCTGCTTCAGAAAGACAAAAAAAAAGGAAAAAAATGAAATATACTTGTCTTTTACATGCCTTTAATTCTAGCACTCAGGAGGCAGCCATACAAACAACTCTACATAGTGAGTTCAGGCCAGCTGGGGCTACAAGGGAGACCCTGTCTCAAAAAGAAGAAAGGAAAAGAAAGGGAAAAAAAAGGTCAACTTTATGTCACATGGAATTTTTTTTTTTTTTTTTTTTTTTGGTCTTTTTGAGACAGAGTCTCCTTGTAGCTCCAGCTGCCTAGAACTCACTCTGTAGAACAGGCTGGCCTTGAACTCACAGAGGATCCACCTGTTTCTGCCTCCCGAGTGCTGGGATTATGTCACATGAATTTTAACTAAAAACAAAACAAAGAACAAAGTCAACAGTCATTTAAAAGAACATGAGTGAAGATCCTTAAGATCACCCCCTTTTCATTCGTTCTTTCCGGCTGAGCTGGAGTCCTGGTGTGTCAAGTTCACCCTACAGTAACATGGGGACCATCATCTTCCACCTGTGGCACTGGACTAGATGCCCACTTGGGAGGTGGAGGGCAGATCCTCCCAACATGGAGACTGATGAGTGGAACAGGAAAATGACAAGAACAGAAGAAACCAAACATGAAGCTAACACCATCCCCCAGCTGAACACCTCATATTATCTCTGAACTAGGGACAGACTGATGCACATCTCTCTCTCTTGAACAGGGAGAGGCTGGGCAGGCAGGTATTCCTTCCCCAACACCTTTGACATGACCAGAGGCCACAACTTGTCAGCACTTTGGGGTAAGGAACCCAGTGTGAATCATAGGGGTGCCAGCCAACATAGTGGGGGAACCACAGTAAGAGGTAGAGGTAGGAGTTAGAAATAGCTCCACAGTCATGTTTCTTAATTTATCCCCAGCTCATTTCACTTTACCCAGTGAAAGAGACAATGTAAGAAGAGAATCCACAGCTGGAATACCTGCAATTTGAAGTACTGCTTATGTACCAGAAAGCCCTGAGCAAAGCAAGACGGAGGGGACATATTCTGACAATGTATTTTTCTTAAAATTTCACTGCTCATATGGTACACTGAGAAGGAAGGAAAGATAACACACACTCCTACCTATGAGTGTGGAGTTCCCTTTTGAGGTGAAGGGAATATTCTAGAACTATACAGATACTGGTGATTATATCATTGTGAATACAAGCTGACCTTTCCTCTTCCTGGTCCTTTGCATCCAGACCAACTCCGCTCCTCAGTGCAGTCCCCAGGAGCCCTTGAGGCCGCTTTCTGCCCCCATCTTCCTTTGCATCTCTGGGTGGCAAGGACACCAGCTACTCTAGACCAACATTTTTCCTGGGCCCGGCTCCCAGGCCAGTCCAATCCCCAAATTCCTCAGGCCAAAATCTTTCCTGGAGGGATCCAGACCTTAAGAGAAAGCCTGAGAGCATCTGATCCTCATCTGACTTGGGCCTCTGTGGGAACTCCTGAAGAC